AACAACAATCTGAATTGTTCATCAGCAAACATACAAAGCTGTATTTCACACCATTGGCAAAACAGTAAATCGCAAGACTGTACAAAAAGAAAGTTCTCTCAGAGAAAAGCTTACATAACAGGAGATTTGCTCATAAAATCTGAACATCATGTATGCAGAGCGCTACAATTACTCTCATGCACACACACACTTTGTACTCAGACGGTGTTTTTTATGAGAGACATGCACTCATAACGCAGTCCACCGAGTGAAGCTCTCATAAAGCACCCCAATCAGGAAATCCAATCAAATCTCAAGCATGCATCAGCCTATAATAATCAAGAAATACACAGAGAGGCCAAACACATTCAACGACAGGCTAACAAACATACACAGGAAAGAGCAAACTAATATGTTTCCCATTTTTAAAACACAACCCTGTGCATACATTAGTATGATAAAGCGGTAATAGCTGAAAATCGCAGAAATCAATGCAGAAGCAGGAAACATTTGAGATGTCACTGAATTTGTTATTGTCTTAAGTTCTATATACAACTTGTTTTAGCATATGACGGGCAGCTTCATGAGCAAACTCTGACATTACAGGATAAGCCAACATGTAAACACAAAGTGCTTTAAAATGAAATCAAGACATTAGGAAGGTTTAGGAAAACAAAAATAAAAAAACTCATCATTATTTTTATAATCAACATTAGATATTAAGCTTTCTGAAAAGTTTAGCAGGTTTTAGCTTAAAAGCGTTTAGAAAAATAATCTTGTTCTTCCTTTAAAATTAGTTTAATATTCTTAACCAATAGTGGCAGACATTTTATTTAAATTAATTCTGATAAATTTGAAAGAAAGCAATACCTGAAGTCATTTTTGCGTTTTATAAAGGTGCATCTTAATTTAATAATTTGTACACTGCCTGATAAGTCTCGTTGTCGATCTCAGTTGTAAGAGCAACAAATAATAACTTGACTTCTAGTTGATCATTTGGAAAAGTGTCAGAAGGTAGATTTTTCTGTTGAATCATCTGTTGAACTGCATCCCAATCTTCACAAATACTGCAGAAGACCTACTGGAAACCACATGGACCCAAGATTCTCACAGAAATCAGTCAAGTTTGGTGAAGGAAAATTCATGGTTTGGGGTTACATTAAGTATGGGGGCGTGCGGGAGATCTGCAGAGTGGATGGCAACATCCACAGCCTGAGATATCAAAACATTTGTGCTGCCCATTACATTACAAACCACAGGAGAGGGCAAATTCTCCAGCAGGATAGCGCTCCTTCTCATACTTCAGCCTCCACATCAAAGTTCCTGAAAGCAAATAAGGTCAATATGATCCAGGATTGACCAGCCCTGTCACTAGACATGAAGATTATTGATCATGTCTGAGGTAAGATGAAAGATGAGGCATTCAAGATGAATCCAAAGAATCTTGATGAACTCTGGGAGTCCTGCAAGAATGCTTTCTTTGTCATACCAGATGACTTTATTAATACGTTATTTGAGTTATTGCAGAGATGTATGGAAGCAGTCCCCCAAGCTCATACGCAATATCAACTCTTTCTCCACTGCAGCATGACTTTATATTCTATACTGTACATTATTTCTGTTAAATGACAAGACTTTTGTCTAAATAAAGTCAGACCTTACTGTCCAATTAAATAATTCAAAATCAAGGCATGATCATATTTTATTCTGGTAAAATAAGCGTCATCTAGAAGCATTTGCCTTTCATATAAGCCACTTCTGATACCAAATGATCAACTAGAAGTCAAGTTAATATTTGTTGTTCCTAAAACTTGGATAGTCGACAAGACTTTTGTCAGGTTGTGTACTAAACAAGACCAAAAAAACTATAAAAATAAGAAAAAACATTTTTGCAGTGGATTTAATGCTATTTAAATGACAATTTACACCATCCTCGTTTGTGAAATCACTGATCACAGGGGCAAAATACAAACGTATCGGGCTACAAAAAACAAAACAAAATGATTTATATTGAATCCTTTGAAATTGGTGGCTGTAATCCTGAGACAAGCTGCAGTCCAAAAGCCCCGTATGATCTTTACAACTGGCAAACACAGTGCCAGAGTTCATCATCATCTTCATTTTGGCAAGTAATGTCAAGCATGTTTACTCAAAATTGGTAGACATTATAAAAAGTAACAAAGAAGGCACATTTGGCGGTCATGTATAAATAAGCGTTATTTACAATATAATAAGTTAGTTTCTATTCAGTGTCTGATGCACACAACTCTCAATCTTTTATTACCACTGGGAGCAATTAAACGACGATGCTTTTCCGTCGACCTGTAATCCAATGACCCAAAGTGGCCCCGTTTTGTTTCTACATCTCCAAAGAAACTTGATGTCCCTGCAGCATTGCAATTTTATTTGACTCAGACGATTGAATCTTTGAGAATTGTGCTCTCTTGTGCTATTAAAGCAGGCATTAGGAAATCAATGCAGCGCGAGTGAGGGTGAAGCTCACAGATCCTGCAGGGATTTGAGTTATATTTCATGCCTAAATCAAATCAGATAGTTCAGAACTTACACTGTGATTGGGAAAATGGCCCTTTTTGGATTATTAAAAGGATAGTTCAACCAAAAGTGACAATTTGCTGGTAATTTTCTCACCCTCAGGCCATCTGAGATTTTTTTTTTTTTTTTTGTCTTCAGTAGGATATTAAACAAAGATTTGAAGCTAAAACTGTTGTCTTTTGTGATTCATTAAATGCACATGAATCACACAATATTATAAATTACGTTAGCTTATCAGTTTTTACAAATTTATGCGGATTAAACATTAAACTATTATAGTGCTCAGCATAATTGAGTGCACCCCATTTTGAAAATGTAGATTTATTTATCCATTTCTGTGAATATAGGCTATTTATTTTGGTGCATTTAAACAAAACAGATTTATTAAACAGATATATTTATTAAAATAATATTTTAGTCACGAAACATATTTAGGAATTGAAAGACAAAATATTGCAAAAACAAATTACAAGCTACAAAACTTCAACTAAAATTCACAAATTTTTGCTTCTTTTAATTTTTCCTCTTTTTTTTAAATTTGTATTTGATATTTTTCTATCACATATAAATTTGTCTGTACTAGTTTTTGGACTGTTATCGTAAGTATTTTTGTTAGATAAGCTCCAGATTTGTCTTCAGTACTGACTAATCTAATGTATATGCACAAATATAATAATGTAGAGCTTACCATTAAAAATGTGAATTTAACTAATAGATTTGTGTATATATGCAGAGCACTGTAAGCTGAAAATCTTAAAAAAGCTTAAAAAACAGCTGAAAATCTATTTTCTTCACAGTGGAGAAAGTAGTTTTTTTTTACCCAAACACAATAAAAGAACATATTTTTGAGCAGTGATCACAACACCGTGATATCGTGAAACCGTGATATATTTGTCCAAGGTAATCATACCGTCAAAATCTTATACTGGCCCATGCCTAATCATCAGAAGTCACGGGTATTAATTTGGTTTAACCTGTATGTGTTTTTTGACTCTCAAAGTCCAGGTAGCCTTTAACTTGCATTTCAGCAATCAGAAAATACAATCTGCTTCAATTTTTAAGTAGAAATAAAACTTATGTACATCTTAGATGGCCTGAGAGTGAGAAAATTAACAGCAAACGTTAATATTTTGCACTGATTCAGCTCATTTATGACATAAATATACAGTTTGAACAAGCAGCAAAACTATTTCAGTGTACACTGCAAAAATGCTTTTCTTACTTAGATTTTCTTGTCTGGTTTCTAGTCCAAATATCTAAAAATTCTTATATCAATAAACATTTTCTAGTCAAGCAAAACATTTTGTCTTGTTTTCAGAAATAATATGCCAATATTAAGTGAGTTTTTCCTTAAAACAAGCAAAATAGTTTTTCCTTTTGACAAGATTATTTTCCTTACCCTATTGGCAGATTATTCTGTTGTTTTAAGGAAAAACTCACTTAATTTTGGCACATTATTTCTGAAAACAATACTATATGTTTCGCTTGTCTAGAAAATTCATCTTGATTTAAGAATTTTTAGATATTTGGACTAGAAACAAGACAAAAAATCTAAGTGCGAAATTGATTTTTTTGCAGTGATACAAAGTTTAACTTAGTATTTTTAGTCAGCTGGTCTGATGTAAGTTTAGATGAATATAAAAGTTCCTTTGATTAAACTAAAACAAAATAGCCGTAATATTTTTAAATAAAACGTATAAATGTTGCTATCAATACTCAGTTTGTAACAGACCAATCTGTTTCATAAGAGCTCAATGTATCACCAGAAGTCATGGGTATTCACTTGGTTTAACCCGTATGCATTTTTTTGGCTCTCAAAGTCCAGGTAGCCGTTCACTTGCATTTCAAGAATCACAAAAGACAATCTCCTTTCATTTTTACAGAGAAATAAAACTCATGTACATATCGGATAGCCTGAGGGTGAGTAAATTAACAGTAAACGTTCATATTTGGGTGAACTATTCTTTTAGGATTTTATGCAGATTTAGAGATTTGAATGAGACTTAAAAATACTATTGATGATTATTGTATTGATGTTGATTTAGTAATGAAATAACAGATATATTATAGGAGTCTACCGACCGAGCAATTGAGTGTTTGATAGACATCTAAACATAGAAGTCTTTGCTAAAACAAGGCTAAATTTGGGCCGTCAGTAAACATCTAAGAGATGTCTAAGAATAGCCTAAAAGTAGACTAGTCATCAAATACACAGATGAGACAGACTTGACTAGAGTTTTGGGCTATTCTTAGATGTCTATAAGATTTTCATTCACAACCCAAATTTAGCCTTCTTTTAGCCAAACATTCGTTGTTTATACGTCTAATAGACATCGATTAGACTTCATTTAAACACAAAAGATGCTTACTAAATGTAACACTTTGGTGCTATAAACCATGTGTTTGTATCCCTGTATGAGAAATTCAATATATTTGGAGTTCCTAACAGCAGCGAAAACCCTGCACACTGATGTTTTGTATTTTATTTGCATGCACATCTATAGCTACACACACACACACAAAAACGTGCACACAAAATATTGTGCTCTCCTAACTTTTGTTTGGCACTTGTGTGCATCGACTTACTCTTCAGTCCCTGTAAACGCTTAATACTTCGATCTGCAATACTAATGTAGAAATGTTAGTATATAAAAGATTAATACGACACGGCCATGGTCAGTCTTTTTTGAAATCTGGGATGTGATTATGGAGGAGGAACACAAAAAAAAACTCCACGTACTGCTGTAGGGGGAAAAAAAGTAGGATTTGTCCATAGTGCGGACTTGATTGTAAGAGTTTTCTTTTTTTTTCATCCATATAGTGGTTTTGATCACTTGAAAATAAGTAAAAATGCTATAAAATGTGTCTTAGCATGTCACAATATGTGAGAGATGCTTCAGTAGTGTCATTATGATAGATTCAGGTCAGAGAATCTGAATTCAGTAACCTTCACATAGCCAGTAGATCCTTTCGCACGCACGCACGCACGCACGCACGCACGCACACACACACACACACACACACACATACATACACACACACACACACACACACACACACACTTTCCATTAGTCAATACTCCTGCGAGTAGTTCAGAGCGATGCTTCTCCAATAAAATCCCCATTAAGGTTTTATCGGAAGAAAGTGAGCATTACTTCATTTCCTGTTCCCTTTTGTTAAGAAGAGTTTTTCTGAACAGTTGTGGAAGCACACAAAGGTTTGGTGAAGATCAGCAGATCTCTCAGACGTGATTATTACTGATGAGCTCAAAACCTAAAGGTCAGTGACTTTATTCTCCACCAGGGCGGCGACCTGTTGAAGGCGATACGCTAACTGCATCTTCTGACCTGCCGCATCTTCTTCCAGAGACATGATAATCTGCACGCAAAGCAAAAGGAGAAATCATTTGTTTGTTAATACGGGATAGTTCACACAAACAATTTTAATTCTGTTGGAATTTACTCACACAAAAGCAGATATAATGAAGAATGTTGGAAATTGTTAAACAGTGACTTACATGGTGTTGTTTTTCTACTATGGATTTTATTGTTTAATGTTTTCCAACATTCTTCAAATAATCTCTTTATGTTGGAGTAAATGATGAATTTTCAATTTTGGTTGAACTATCCCTTTTATAATATAAGAAAGTTTAATCATTGGCATACTGACCTGATCGTAGTATTTGTTGATATACTTGTAGAGCTCATGTAACGCCACCAAACTGTTCATCTCTGATGCAAAGCTCTAAAAACATGACAGTCATTAGAATAACAAGTTTAAGTGTTCATGATAAATAGGACATCAAATGAATAATAATAATTAAAAAAAAAAACACACAAAATGACATTTTTCTACTCATTTACCACATATGATGGATTACTGTTTTACAAATAAAATATCATTAATTATGAAATCATTTAAACAATATATTTCACAGTCAATTGATAAGTGTTTGACTGTGTGTTTTTTTTTTTAGTAAAACCAGTAATTATTTAAAATATTTGGATACAAATATTTAAAACCATTTAAAGAAATGCAAACAAGTAAACAAAATGGTTACTCAAACCCAGAACTAACTCATAAAATAATTACAAATTAAAATTAACTAATTAAATGCAGGCCCGGATTGGCTAATTGGGAGGGTCGGGAGAATTCCCGGTGGGCCGGTCTGTTTTTTGGCCACGCTGTCCAGTGTGCCTAGCTGCTTGCATTCTCAGCAGTCACACTTTTTTCATTTATCTATTTGACCATAGCCTCACTCTTTTTTTTTCATTACTTTGCTGCAGCTCCGCTCTTTTTATTTATCTTTTTCGCAGCCGCATGAGCAGAATGCAGCCCTCAGGTTAATGATGACGTTACTATTATTCAATCCCAAACAGCGGCACCGTAGTGAATATCAGAATTCGAATAATGAATATTAATGAATATTACACCTGCACAATGAAAATCAGATGATTCACTACATTAATAAATCTGACATAACTTGATCAGAAATCTAAAACAGCAAACGCTAATGGTGGAGGAGAAAACCAGCACAGTTTTAAAAATACTCTTTTGCTGTATCACAAAATAAAGCTTTAAGAGTTTTTCAGGCGAGAATGTAGATGATTTAAACTCAAATCGGCAGTTTATTCACAAAGTTAGCGCGACTTTGACGATGTGCCTCAGCTAATGTGGACCTCTGGAGCTTCGACTTCACTTCCCCCACCGAGAGCTTTACTTCGGCTAGTCCATCTCGGATGTACCACTAGATCTCATCTCTCCATTGTAGTTAAAACATAATATTTAATACATCTTGTGTATATCTAACAGTCTTACAAATCTATTGTTTGTTATCAGGTGTATTATTTTGTCGGTATTATTTTGTTACCTTTTATAATTGTCTTTAATTATGTTACCGTAATGTACGCTTGTCTTTGTTTAACAAACTGCTTAATGTTATTTCTTATTGTGTACGTCTTAATACTTGTATAATGTCCATTGTAGTTTATTAAATCTGATAATCAAAGACACGAGTCGGTGTATAAGAACACATTTTACTTCACATTTATATGGATTTATGTTTACATTTTCTTAAATCAAAAATGTAGATTTATAATATCAATATAATATTAATTACAGGGCCGTGCTTTATATAATTAAATCATTTTATTGTTAATGTACAGTGAAACCGATGAATCTATGGTGAGGTAAGTGACCTTATAAAGTGTGCTGCCGTTCCATTTGAAGAAGTATTTGACTTGTGTCCTTGCGTTCTTGGGAGTTCGTTCTTTCAAGTCTAAACTTGGCAAGTCTGAACTTCCAAGAACGCAAGTCCGAACTTTGCGTACTTGGTATTGAGAAACAGCCAACGATTGAAATGCATCTAAAGTGCTTTTTTTTTGCAAACATTGAAAACATTTGCTTCACATTAGGATGGAAACTCAACCATTGACTCTCAAACAAAACAAAAAAAAAATGAACCCCATATTCACAAGCAGGTTTCATACTTTTGTCGTCTAAAGCGTCTTAAAATACAAATAATTTTAAAGCAGAACTAACAGCAGTCTTACCCCTGAGAGCTCTGTCAGCATTGAATTCATCTCCTGATAACAGCCAGACACGGCGTTATGAATATCACTGTAGTACCTTCAGGAAAGAAAGACACATTATAGCACTAGATATTAATCCTGTATCAGTTCCAGCAAATTAACTGTTCTGACCCATATCGTATATAACCCTAAAGGAACACTCTTTTTGTAAAATTTACAAGTCCCCTAGGGTTAAACAGTTTAGTTTTACCATTTTTGAATCCATTCAGCCAATCCCTGGGTCTGGCGGTAGCACTTTCAGCTTAGCTTAGCAAAAATCCTTGAACAGTATTAGATATTAGCAGGAGCAATGATATTACGCAACACTGTTAACTATGTAGTTCTAGCTTGGGACTACTTTTATTGCACCTGCCCTTCCGCAGTTCCTTGATTAATACACCAGAATAAGAGTATAGTTCCTTGCTATATTAGCCTTGAAAATAGCTTCTTTTCATTTTTTTGTCAGTCTTCTCACACGATGTGACTACAGAACAGTCGAACTTTAAATTGGATAATTATATCCAATTGTGGTATGGCAGGAAAATTCCTTGATTTAGTTAGTGGGGGGTGGGGCATTGTGGGCACTAGGACGAATTTAAGGGCCTACACATTTTGGGGGCCCCCAGAGACATTATCAAGGGCCTACGATCATCCATCCAACCTGACCCCCCCTACACCCCCCCCACCCATTCTTAACTTTCGTTCGCATCCAATGCATCATTGCATATGCTGCAGCCAATGGTACAGCAGCAAAGTTCCTTGATTATTACGCCCGAATAAAAATATTGTTCCTAACCATATCGGCCTTGAAAATAGCAACTTTTCATTTTCCGTCAGTCTTAGTATACAATGTACTTACGAAAGAGCCGAGCTTTAAATTGGAGCATTAGCAAAACCCTTTTTTGAAAATTGAACGAAAGGCTATCGGTCTAATTTGATTCAAGGATTTATGCTAAGCTAAGCTATTAGTTTAAGCTTTCATTTTACAAGACTCCTAGAGTTAAACAGTTGAGTTTTATAAATTTTTTGAGACCATTCAGCCAATCTCTGGGACTAGAGGGAGCACTTTTAGCTTAGATTAGCTTAACATAAATCATTGAACCATATTAGATATTAGCAGAATCAAAGCTATTATGCAACGCTGTTCCCTAGTTTTAGCTTGGGGCTAATTTCAGGTGCTGGGTAATATCATTGCTCCTGCTGAAACCATGGTACGGCAGCAAAGATTCTTGATTATTACACTGGAAAGAGTATAGTTCCTAGGAACATAGGAACTTTAAATTTTTTGTCAGTCTTAGCACATGCAAGAGTCAAACTTTGAATTGGAAAATTTAACAAAACTCTTAAAAAAAAATAGCGAAATGCTAACAGTCTAATCCGTTTCAATGATGTATGCTAAGCTAAAAGAGCTCCCATTTGACTGAAACGTTACCTCAATGGATTCAAAAATGATAAAACTCAACTATTTAACTATAAGGGAGCAGAAAAATGCAGGCCCGGCCCTAAGCAATTTGGCACCCTAGGCAAGATTTCAGGTGGCGCCCCGTCACATCGCAGTAAATTCCACTGTATAGTCATAAGAAACTAAATAGCTTTTTGATCGACTACTACAAGCTGGGAAAACGTCAGATAAATATACCAATGCAGTTAACATTAATGCTGAATAGATTTAATATTTACGCATTTTCTTGAGAAAGGACTGATGGGGGTAGTTACATTACTATTACCATTTTCCATAACATCTGTCTTTCCGTAACATTAGCTGACGTCAAAACTAACAGATAGCACTATAGCTATTTATTGATTAGCAATCTGTCCAACGTTGGATGTAAAAAATATGGCACAACAAATAGCTTCAAATTATAGAATACATAGCAAACATTGGAAAATATTGACAATAAAATAAATGGTTTAGCCTATTAAAATCGATGGCCTATACAGAAATTAAATAAAGCTAAAAAATCTACTTCACTTTTAATTGTATTTGCATATTGATTAAAGTTACTATAGTTATTTAGTGAAGAGCAGTTTGTGAATCTCTCATTGTGTTTTGCTTGATAACAGAGGTGTTAATGTAAGAATGCACAGATCTATAATGAAGCATTCGACTACTTTAGTAACTGTTTGTGCTCATTTAAGAGAAAATTAGTTGTGTTTAAAATAAAACAGGCAGGACAAAGCCAAAAAAAAAAAGAAGCACTTTTTCGACGGCCCCTTACTAAGACCTCCGCTCGGCGTGAGCTCTTCCGGCTGAACGCATATTGGCGAGGGCTTAAATGGAGCAGTGGTCGTAATGTTGAGCGAAAAAAAGAAAAAAAGACAGCTGTGAAACAAAACCAGCTTTGTCTTTTTGTAGGAAACACACTTTAGATCTTTTTAGGGTAAGAGGTTTTTGAGTTATTGCCGTCTATCACTGAACGCGTCAGGAATACTGAAAACAAAACCAACTTAACCTCGCTCATTTCTGGCGCCCCCCTGGATGTACAGCGCCCTTAGCACTGGCCTATATTGCCTATGCCACGGGCCGGCCCTGGAAAAATGAGTCTATTTCCAAAAAGAAAATTCTTTAAGATTTCTCACCTCTCCACCAGCTGCTTGTATCGAGGGATTTCTCTGGCGTACAACAGCTTATTCACCGGAGAATCCTGAAGGACGTGAGACACAGCAATAATGAGAATAAAACAGAGCTCATAGATGCTGCAGCTGTGAAAGGAGCTCACTTTCCTCCGTTCATCTTTTTTCTCTACACGCACACACTTCTGCATAATGAGGTTTACAGGTTAATTACTGTACTGACCCGCCCCACTTTGTGCTCCGATGTAGTGCAGGAATCAATGAAGGTCTGTGCGATGACGGAGAGGACGGGGTCCACACTATCAGTCACCTGCACGTCAAAGACGAACTGAGGGTTCTTCAAGATGTTGACCCAGAAACGCAAGGGTAAACTGCAGCAGGGAGAGGAATTCAATGAACATTCAATACAACGAGCACAGAAACAATATAGTTTAATTAAAAGTATCTATGATAGTTCTATGATAAATTATCAATCAGTTTAATTGATTTAGGACAACTCAAAAGATTGATTTACTCACTGAGTGCATTTTACAGAAGAGCAATAACTACCGTAAATAGTATGTTGGAAATGAATACTACATTGAAGATTTCCAATGTTTTACTATTATTATAATAATTTCTGCATTTAAAATTATTTTGATGATTTATTTATATGATAATTTAAAGTCGGCCGATATGGTGGCTCAGTGTTTAGCACTGTTGCCTCACAACAAGAAGGTTCCTGGTTTGAGTCCCGGCTGGGTCAGTTGGCATTTCTGTGTGGAGTTTGCATGTTTTCCTCTGGGTGCTTCGGTTTCCCTCACAGTCTAAAGCAGTGGTCACCAAACTTGTTCCTGGAGGGCCGGTGTCCTGCAGATTTTAGCTCCAACCCTAATCAAACACACCTGAACAAGCTAATCAAGGTCTTACTAGGTATACTTGAAGCATCCAGGCAGGTGTGTTGAAGCAAGTTGGAGCTAAAACCTGCAGGGACACCGGCCCACCAGGACCAAGATTGGTGACCCCTGGTCTAAAGACATGTGCTATAAGTGAATTGAATAAACTAACTTGTGTGTGTGTGCGTCTGTGTGTGTGCGTCTGTGTGTGTGAATGAGTGTGTATTGATGTTTCCCAGTACTGGGTTGCAGCTGAAAGGGCATCTGCTGTGTAAAACATATGCTGGATAAGTTGGCAGTTCATTCCGCTGTGGCGACCCCTGATGCTTCCTTGGTCCTCTCTTTTAAGTCGCTTAGGATGAATGCATCTGCTAATTGAGTAAATGTAATTGTATTTTCTGCTTTGTTTTTAATCCTTCGGCTGGTCAACAAATTGAATTTTGTCGAAATTTCAATTTCTTTTTTCTACATTGTGTGACTTTTTCAATAAATCTGTGAGTAAGGCTTTCAAAAATAATTAAATTTACTTTAATTCAATTTAATAAAAAAATTAAAAGCTCAATATAATTCAAGGAATACAATAATATTATATCAAAGAATCATTCAAGTGAATTTGTGAACTAACTTAACAGATTTATTTTTTAATCAGTCGGACCAAAAGGTGAACTGACTTGTCTGAAAAAAAAGAAAAATGTGACTATAATAATTATACAGTTAGATAATATTTTTTAATTATATAGTGAACCTACTATATATTTTTACTATGCAAAAGTATGAACTATTATTTAAATATGACCAATTAATGTCCATAATTCATTCATTTTCCTTCGGCTTAGTCCCTTTATTCACCAGGGGTCACCACAGTGGAATGAACTTATCCAGCATATATTTTATGCAGCAGATGCCCTTCCAGCCACAACCCAGTACTGGGAAACATCCATATACATTCATTCACACGCATACACTATGTACAATTTAGTTTATTCAATTCACCTATAGCGCATATCTTTGGACTGTGGGGGAAAAACCCACGCCAACACGGGGAAAACATGCAAACTCCATACAGAAGCTCCAACTGACCCAGCCAGGACTCAAATCAGCACTTTTTGCTGTGAGGCGACAGTGCTTACCACTGAGCCACCGTGCCACCCTAATGTCCATAATATTACCAATTATTCAAGATGTCAAATTAATAGATTTGCCCTGTTATAGAGAAAATACACACACAAACACTCACAAAAAAACAATATTAAAATATGCAAACACTATATAAAATTGAAATATATTACATTTACATTTACATTTAGTCATTTAGCAGACGCTTTTATCCAAAGCGACTTACAAATGAGGACAAGGAAGCAATTTACACAACTAAGAGCAACAATGAATAAGTACTAAAGGCAAGTTTCAGGTCTGTAAAGTCTAAGAAGGGAAGTGTTAGTAATTTTTTTTTTTATTTTATTTTATTTTTTTTTTTGTACAGTTAGTGTGATATTCAAATAGGCAATTGCAGATTAGGAAGTGAAGTGGAGACTAAATAGTTGAGTTTTTAGTCGTTTCTTGAAAATAGCGAGTGACTCTGCTGTTCTGATGCAGTTAGGGAGTTCATTCCACCAACTGGGCAGATTGAGCGTGAGCGTTCGCGAAAGTGATTTTTTTCCTCTTTGGGATGGAACCACGAGGCGACGTTCATTCACAGAACGCAAGTTTCTGGAGGGCACATAGATCTGCAGAAGTGAGTGCAGATAAGAAGGTGCTAGGCCAGAAGTCACTTTGTAGGCAAACATCAGAGTTTTGAATTTGATGCGAGCAGCAACTGGCAATTGCGAGCAATTATTACATAATTTTTTAATCTTTTAATGCTTGTAGTTTCTGCCAACCCGACTCTACACCATAACTTTTCAATCCAGATGGATGGGGCAACCATTACTGCATCCAAAATGGTGAAAAGCCTTGGAGTAACGATTGATGACCAACTAAACTTCTCTGACCACATTTCTAGAACTGCTCGATCGTGCAGATTTGCACTCTATAACATCAGAAAGATCCGACCCTTCTTATCTGAACATGCAGCTCAACTCCTTGTTCAAGCTCTTGTTCTCTCCAAACTGGATTACTGCAACTCTCTACTAGCTGGGCTTCCAGCTAACTCTATCAAGCCTCTTCAACTGCTCCAGAATGCAGCAGCACGAGTTGTCTTCAATGAACCTAAACGAGCACATGTCACTCCGCTGCTAGTCCGTTTGCACTGGCTGCCAGTTGCTGCTCGCATCAAATTCAAAACTCTGATGTTTGCCTACAAAGTGACTTCTGGCCTAGCACCTTCTTATCTGCACTCACTTCTGCAGATCTATGTGCCCTCCAGAAACTTGCGTTCTGTGAATGAACGTCGCCTCGTGGTTCCATCCCAAAGAGGGAAAAAATCACTTTCGCGAACGCTCACGCTCAATCTGCCCAGTTGGTGGAATGAACTCCCTAACTGCATCAGAACAGCAGAGTCACTCGCTATTTTCAAGAAACGACTAAAAACTCAACTATTTAGTCTCCACTTCACTTCCTAAGCTGCAATTGCCTCTTTGAATATCACACTAATTGTACAAAAAAAAAAAAAAAAAAAAAAAAAAAACTACTAACACTTCCCTTCTTAGACTTTACAGACCTGAAACTTGCCTTTAGTACTTATTCATTGTTGCTCTTAGTTGTGTAAATTGCTTCCTTGTCCTCATTTGTAAGTCGCTTTGGATAAAAGCGTCTGCTAAATGACTAAATGTAAATGTAAATGTTAATCTACAATAATCCATTAATAATCCAATAATCCATTTTTCATTAATTCTGGAAAACTTGTAACACTTTATAACAAGATAAAAGTAGAGTAGACTTAAAAGTAAAGCTTTAAAAAAAGTAAATTCAAGATTCACTCCAAGTTTTTGAGCTGAGCTGTATTATTGATTTTCTCCATAAATCTTTAGCCTCAGTAAAAACGTTTCATCGATCTGACCTGTTTGTTTTCCAGATGTGAACGGTCTCCGGGTCGTCGATGCCGTGTTTCTCTGCCATATCATCCAGAAAGTCAAAGAAGAATCTGACTGCTATGGGTGGAGGCCGTTTCGTACTCAGTATGGCTACAAACACATCATCCACAAACTTCTGCAGAGTCCCCTGAAGATAAACACATACGAGCACAGAGCAGCTTTCAGTTCAGGGCTCTTACACCTTTAACAAAGTCAAAATTACGCTTTTTTCAAGCACTTTCTAGCAGAATTTTCAAACTTTTCCAGCACATTATAATGATAGCAAATTAAATGTTTACATACTTTATCACATTAGATCATCCACATTCTATTTGTTACCATACCACACAATATTATACCCTAACATATAATACAACACTATACCACACCAGACTAAACTAAAACACTATACTACACCATACAATACAATTCAACACTATACTATACTATACTATACTATACTATGCTATACTATACTATACTACACCATACAATACAATTCAACACTATACTATACTATACAATACTACACCATACGATACAAATAAACACTATACTATGCTATGCTATATTATACTATATTAAACTATACTATACTATACTATACTAAATTATACTATACCACTTCATACAATACAATTCAACACTATACTATACTATACAATTAAACACTATGCTATGCTATGCTATACTATACTACTTCATACAATACAATTCAACACTATACTATACTATACTATACTATACAATTAAACACTATGCTATGCTATACTATACTATACTACTTCATACAATACAATTCAAAACTATACTATACTATACTAAACAACACTATACTACACCATACAATACAATTAAACACTATGCTATGCTAAGCTATACTATACTGTACTATACTAAACAACACTATACTACACCACACCATACAATTAAATGCTATAATACACTATACTATACTATACTTTACTACACTACACCATACAATACAATTAAACACTATACTATGCTATGCTATGCTATACTATACTAAATTATACTATACTATACTACACTATACAATTCAACACTATACTATACTATACAATACTATACTATTAAACACTATACTATGCTATAATATACTATACTATGCAACACTACTACACCATACAATTAAACACTATACTATACTATACTATACTATACTACACTATACAATTCAACACTATACTATACTATACTATTAAACACTATACTATGCTATAATATACTATACTATGCAACACTACTACACCATACACTTAAACACTATACTATACTATACTATACTATACTATACTATACTATGCAACACCATACAATACAATTATACACTATGCTATGCTATGCTATGCTATGCTATGCTATGCTATACTATACATTACAATTCAACATTATACTATACTATGCTATATATAATGCTATAAGGAAAATATACACATTGGATTACTGTCGTTGAATTAAATCTTAAACGTGTCATCTTTCATCATAAATGTACATTTATTTACACCTGATGCGGTAATCTCCATTCATTTTATTTTCATTCCATGCAAAAGCACAAATATTTATTTTAATAGTTAATTACTCTTGCCTATTTATTAGGATGAATTATTACGGAAGCAACAAAGCTGCATTTTTAAGCAGTTTCAAGCACTTTATAAAAAATTCAAGCACTTTTCAAACCTTGAACACAGATTAAAATGCAAACATTTTCAAGGATTTCCAGCATCCGAATGAATCCTGTCAGTTACGAAGGACCAGGAGTCCCAGTTAGAAATAAAACAAAGAATCAAATTGTCAATTTAGTAATTTTAGCATAAAGGAATATATATATGTATCACAATTTAAATTAACAAATAATAGACAAACAAAGCGACATATTTAAATGTGCCTATTAAAATTAGGTTTTTTAAAATCTCATTTAAAAAAGCAATAAAACATTGCATTTTATTATTATTTTTAATGTATAAGTAAATAGACAACTTTATAACCTTTTTTTAAATAAAGGTTTAAAACGCTAATTAAATCAAGCAGTAAACAAGTATATTAATACATTTTGCATTTTAAATACATTTTAAATAGCTTTTTAAAAACGCATTTGCCAATATTTCGCTTTTATTTGCCACTTTTTTTTTTTTTTGCTACAAAAATATACAAAAGTTGATCAAATTTAAAAATACCACTGCACAGTCCACCCAATGGAGCAACCAATAAACTTTCGGTTAAAGTTAAGCTAAACTCTCTGTCGCTTCTAAAAGAAAAACACACACTCTGTTGTTGAACAGACAGAAAACTGTAGCTCATCATAGCAGGAGTTTGAAGATGAGCGAAGCGACTCAAATAACAGGGCGATCTGAACATGTTTGGAGAGGGATTGTGGATTATTTATTAGCTTTAGCTAAGTTGTACACTTTTATTGTTACAAAACTACGCTCATTCAAGCTGACATAATTTATTTAGGGCACTAATAAACTGCATATCACACAGATAAACATAATGAAAGTCAGGATCTGTGATGTGGGGCATATTCTGGTAGTGTAAACGCATCTCATACCTTCATTGAAAGCAATCGTGTAAGGTAGATCTCAGGAATGGCTTTTGCTCGCTCCCGCTCTCTCATGCTGCTCTTTCTGTGTTTGGGGATCTCGGGGTCTTCGGTGGGCTTTACTAAATGCCACAAACGAAGACCTTCCTCCTCCTCTCCTTCAAGCATGGGGGTTTCTGCAGCAATTACAAGAAACAGATTGAATATGAATTACAAACTGATACACTTTTCCTCTCTAATGGTCGGAAATAAAAGTGCAAAAGTGATTGTGCTCTTTACTTACTCTCTCCAGTCTGGTAGACCTGATTTACACCAAGAGAACTCTGGGAACGTGGAATGAGAGCCACTGTGGCCCCATCAGGTACCTGAGAAGATAAAATTAAAAGTTAAAATGAAAATAATAAACTAAAACAATCTCACAAAAACATCTAAGCAAACTTATTCAAATCAACTATTTAAAGAGATGGTTCATCCAAAGATGACAATTTACTTGCATTTACTGCCCCCAAGATGGTTCCAAACCTTTATGAGTTTCTTTATACTGTTGAACACAAAAGAAGATATTCTGAAATCTTTTTTTGAATCCTGTAACCAATGACATCCATAGAAAAAAAAAACAAATACTATGGAAGTCAATGGTTACAGGTTCCCAACATTTTTCAAAATGTCTTCTTTTGTGTTCGAAAAAATATAGAAAGTCAAACAGGTTTGTGACAAGTAAAGCGAGAGCAAATGATGACAGCATGTTCAGTTTTGGATGATCCATACTAATCTCAAAACACCAAACTGACACTAACAAACACCCACGAAATATATCAAATCAAATTAAAAATCAACCAAACTCACAAAAACCAACCAAGCAAATAAAGATGTCAACCAATCAAGCTTCCATAAACAACCAACTCAAATAAATGACCAACTAAACTCAGTTAACAAACTCACAAAATCTGACTAAGTCAACCAGCTAAACTCACAAAATAAACAATCAGACTCACAAAAACAACCGAACCACAAAATCAACCAATGAAAAATATTCACAGAAAATAAACTAAGCAACTACAGAAATGTCACAAACTTACAAAAATGTCACAGCCAAATCACCCTGCAGCCCAAGACTGGTTACTCACTGAAGCTAAGCAGGACTGAGCCTGGTAAACAAAACAAATTCAATACATCAACCAGATAAACTCACGAAATAAACAATCAGACTCACAAAAACAACCAAACTCGTAAAAGTCAACAAAGCAAGTAAAGAAATGTCAACCAACCTTACTTCCATAAACAATCAACTCACATAAATAACCATCCAAACTCAGTAAACAATCAGACAGTAAATCAACCAGCTAAACTCACAAAATAAACAAATAAACAGACTCATAAAAAAACAAACCACAAAAATCAACAAAGCAAGTAAAAAAAAGTCAACCAACCAAACTTCCATAAACAATCAACTCACATAAATAACCATCCAAACTCAGTAAACAATCAGACAGTAAATCAACCAGCTAAACTCACAAAATAAACAAATAAACAGACTCATAAAAAAAAGAACCACAAAAATCAATATAGCAAGTAAAAAAAAGTCAACCAACCAAACTTCCATAAACAATCAACTCACATAAATAACCATCCAAACTAAGTAAACAAAACAAACACACTTAAACAAATCAACTTAGTAAATCAACCAGCTAAACTCACAAAATAAACAATCAGACTTACAAAAACAATAACTCACAAAAATCAGCTAAGCAATAAAAAAAGGCCGAACAACTAAACTTCCATAAACAATCAACTCACATAACCATCCAAACTCAATAAACAAACTCACAAAAACAAATCAACTCATTAAATCAACCAGCTAAACTCACGAAATAAATAAACCAAACTCACAAAAACAACCCACAAAATAAACTAAACAAACTAAAAAAAACAATAAAAAGAAAAAGAAAATATAATGAACACATTCAACCTAACTAAACAACCAACAAAATAAACAAAACAAACTAAAAAAAAAAACAATAAAAAGAAAAAGAAAATAAAACAAATCACATTCAGTCTAACTAAACAAGTCACAAAATAAACAAAACAAACAAAAAAAAACAATAAAAAGAAAAGTGAAATAAAACAAACACATTCAATCTAACTAAACAAGTCACAAAATAAACAAACTATAATAACAAAATTTACCAACAGAAATAAACCAAACAAACTCACAACAATCAACCACCAAATTCACAAGAAAAATTAAACAAAAAAAAAAAACTGTCAAACTAGCGTCAACCAAACAACCAACTTAAAATTCAACAAACCTACAAAAGTTATTCAATTAAAAAGTTACACTGAACAGAACTTGATCTGTGAAAACTGGACTGAAGCAGTTTCAATTTACTAGAGCTTTGTCTATGTTAAGCTGCTTTGACACAATCAACACAAATAAAGATGAATTAAACAGCCAACCCACAAATCAACCAATACATCTGACTGAACAGCAGCGTAAAAACTACTAGTGACAGTCAATAAATCTCCAGCTGTACCTTGTAGTGTTGTAAAGTGTTGATCCGTTTCCAGCGGCCCTGAACAATGGCTGTGACATCATCATCAGACAGAGTCAGGTGGCCCGCCTGGCCCGATCGCCACTCTGAGTAAACACAACACACAAAATATATGAAACCATACCAATGATCAAGCATAGTCCAGATATACAGAATCTGAAACTGTACCGAGGTCAAGTGAGTCTGCGGCTGGTCTTTGGGAGAACGCCGCTCCTTTATAAATCTGGTCCAGGATTTTATCTTTGACCTGAGTGATGGTGTCAATGTCCAGAACTTTAACAGGACAGGGCTGAACCTCCACACCGCTCTTCACCAGCACCGTCAGAGTCTAAGATAAGAAATAATCGGTCTTATTAGATTCATTTATTTGAGAGCTTTGTTTTGTGATTTATTAAGATTTGCGCTGGGAAAAACTTTTTTTCTTTTTTTTTTTCAATTAAATCCTTTTTAAAAATGGTGAAAACAGATCAAAAGAGGCATTGTGGAGAAATAGACTACTGATTTCACTTTACTTTTGCAGTTTTAGTGCAACTGGAACTGCATTACAATATGGAAAAAAAAACTGCTTCATTTGGACTTTAAGTTTACATTCGTTGAATCAAATTGAGATTTGAATCAAGAATTGAATCGAGATCCTGTGAATCAAATGAATGGGGTTATGTGAATTAATGTCCCAGTCCTAATTGAGATGTCAGTGTTGGCGAGCCGCACCACAGCGCAGTAGTCGATGTCTTCTCTGAGCAGGTGGCTGTCGTTGAGTGTGCGTTTGGCTTTACCCGTCACTGCATCCACTGGCCCTTTATCCACCTGGTATTTAATAGCCCTGTACAATTTGTAAAGAGGCTCTCCAGCAACCTCCTGCACAAACACAAACCCACACACACACATTATCGACTGCATTTATGTCTGGAACAATAAATGTTGTTTACATGTTGGAACTCATAGAAGAAGTTTTATTAAAACTATAACTCATGACAGGCCTATAGTGTTATTACACTACTTTGTGAAGACACAAAGTAGACCTCTGAAAACAAAACAAGAATTATTAAACAATTATTCATTAGTATGCTAAGTATTATTTTCTTATAACAAAACAAACCATTTATTGTTATGATTTTGTAGCAGAAGAATTATTATTATTATTCCACCTAATATTTATTATTAGTTGTATTCATTTAATATTATATTAGTTATATTCATACATAATATAATATAACAATTCTTTATAATGTAATATCATATAAAAATATCATATAATAATATAATATAATTTTAGATTGTTATAATAATATTATCATTATTAAGATAGGTAATATTTTCTTATTACAAATCAATGCATTTATTATGATTTATGGCAGCAGAAGTATTAATACTATTGTTATTACATCTAATTTATATAGATATATACATTCCATATTATGTTAGTATTATTAATATATAATATAATACAATATAATATAATATAGCATATTACAATATAATACTAAAGCAATTCTTTAAAATATAACAATTCTTTGTAATATAATATATAAAAATAAATAATAATAATAGAGTATAATTCATTATTATTATATAAACTTTTTATTAACGTAATATTACCATTATGATTGGTATAACTTTCTTATTAAAAAAATGCATTTATTATGATTTCTTTATGGCAGAAGAAGTATTAATATTATTATTATTAATCCATATAATATATATTATTATTGTATTCATTCATGTATTACATATGTATTATTAATATTCAATATAATATAATTCATCATTATTATATGAACATAATATTGTAAAAATAATATCAATATGATGATTTTTTTACAAAAATATGTAATATTAAGATTAGTATTATTTGTATTATGATGATGATGATGATTATTATTATTATTCCATTTAATATATATATATATATAGTTTTTGTATTCATTTTGTATAATATAATATAATATAATATAATATAATATAATATAATATAATATAATATAATATAATATAATATAATATAATATAATATAATTCATCATTATTATATGAACATATCATTATAATGATTTTTATTTTACAAAAATATTTATTGAGGCAGTAGTCGTATTAATATTATTATTACATCTAATATCTCTTGTGGTATTAAAATATAAGAACTATTCCAAAAATGTAAATTAAATACAAAATACAATAAAATATAATAAATTACAACATATATTTTTTTTAAAAACAAATAAATAAATTAAATAATTCAGTGCGAATGCATAGACATTATGTCATCATATTGTTTAATACCTTGAGAAATGAATAGAGACAGATGGACATCCAGTTGGTCAGCATCTTCTCCACAACCGTCTCCGTCCTACAGATGACCACACGTGAATATATTCAGATTAGATTTACTGTAATCCGATCAGGATGGATCAGACAATACAGACCACTTATTTATGTGTGTGTAACACAAACACATCTGTAAGCATTTGAAAACACATGCATTTATTTCACACACACACACACACACACACACACACACACACACACACACACACACACACACACACACACACACACACACACACACACACACACACACACACACACACACACACACACACACACACACACACACACACACACACACACACACACAATAACCTTAATACATTATTCCTGCTTGGTATCTTAGGACCCGAGGAAAGAAAAAAAAAAATAAATCCATTTTATTTTAATATGCTACAGCTATTTTATGTATTTTTATATGCTGCATCCAATTAATTTTGAATAAATGAAATCAATTTTAATGGGCTAAGAGTATCTGCGCATTATTACTTATTGATTATTATTGACTAATGCGTTCTTGAAAGCTGCAATACTGCAAAAATCTATCATATTTCATATTTTCAACCAGTGTTCCACCACATGCCAAAGGTGCTCTATTGGATTGAGATATGGTGACTGTGGAGGCCATTTGAGTACAGTGAACTCATTGTCATGTTCAAGAAACCAGTCTGAGATGATTCGTACCTTATGACACATGTGGCTCTCTGACCAAAATGTGTGGCTCTCCAGCTGTCTATCTTCAATAATATTTCAAAATTTAAAAAAAAAATATAACCGTTACTAGAAATCAGTTTCTTACTGAAAATACAATTACAATTCCTTCTATATTGTATTTTCTACAGCAAAACGAATAAGAACTCACGACAACAATAAAAGGCAATTTATATTTCTTACATTTCTACAGTACTTTTCTACACTAACTCCACACAAATTCAAACATTAATGAGAGGCGATGGCAAAAAGACAAAAAATATTTTTGATTTGTGCATGGACATAAAGAAAGGTTTCGTGTAGAAATAAATACAGGTTTTGTTATATACACACACTTCATACGGCTTTTTAAAAAAAAGCATTTCATAAAAAAAAAATCTGAAATGGCTCTTTGCTGAAAAGGTTCCTGACTCCTGGTCTACAGAAAAAAATAAAATAAAATAAAATCACTGTTATAAAAGGACTTACTTAAAAGGCTCTATCTTGTCTGATTAACCTAATAAAAATTCTGTGGTTAAGCCTTTAAAGGTGACTAATGCCGAGTTCAGACTGCATGATTTTTAAAGTAGTCGTGTCACAGATGTTTTCACACTGCTTGACTATTGGCTAGCGTTTCGTCGCTGCTTTGTTTACACTGCACGATAGATCGGCGACAGGGACTTTCACATTGTATGACTTTACTATAGGAAGAATCGCCAACAACTTCCTCCAAACTACGTCTCGCAGCCAAAAACACGTGGTATATCTTTTGTTAATAACTACATAATGTGAAAGAAGCCTTTAATGGGGTAGAAAATGTACACATTTGCTCACCTGGGTTTAAAGGGAATTAGCCATTTCTCCTCAACACTGATAATAAACTAATTTCTTTCTGTATGAAACGTCAAACAGACACAGGTGCTCCTGAGTCCTGTCAAACCTCCACTAGTTTTTGTTCCATTTCGTGGGTCCAAATAAACCGAAAATGAGCGCTTTTAACTTCTCCACCAGCCTCCCGCTGGCCTGCAGCAGGTAAACACATACGCACACGCAAGTAAATGCCGCTCTCTCATTGGCTGTAGGCGATCGCTGATGTTATTTTCAGTCAAAACTCAATTCACACGACATGATTTGAATCACCGACAGCTCCAGATATTTAGCACGCCAAATATCTCGCAATCATCGGCGGCTCATCGACGATTCTCTCAGATCGCGTCTTTGATAGTTCATACTGTGTGATTGCCACACAATTACTAGTACCTTAAAAATATCTAGTCAAATATCATTTACCGTCATCATAGCAAAGAGAAAAGAAATCAGTTATTAGAAATGAGCTATTAAAACTATAACAGTATGTTTAGAAATCTTCTTTCTGTTAAACAGATAAAATATACAGGGGGTTAATAACTCTAAAGTCTTTAACTGTATCTGATATTTATGCACATTATAAATATACACAGTGCACATACATACATACAAAAATTAAAAACCTCCAAGTCATCGTGATTAATTTCCCCCCAGCACTACTAAAAAGGGAAAGTACCTGCGCAGCATGAGTTTGGGGTTCTTGGCCACGTACTGCTGCACCAGATCTCCCAACAGATTCTTCATCACATCAGTGAAATATTCCAGCTTATCATGAAGAGCCATAGTGAGGAGAGACGCCACGTAACCCCTGTCCCGCTGAGAGAAGCTCTGCTGCGCCTCCAGAGTGTGGATGAACTGCAGGAGAATTTACTTACATTAGTGCCACACACACTCCCATAACAACACACACACACACTAGTTTGACCAATTTCAATCAAACAGCCTGAGCTTTCACAACACTGCACTCCTAAAACATCTACTAACGCCTCAGACTGCTGCTGCTGCGATGGATAAATATTTAAAAGTTTCTGCACTGCTGCCTGACAGTTTGGCAGTTTAAATGCGGATAAAGTGTCGAGAAAGAGGATAGTGACTGAGATTTCCAAAACAACTGGGGATGCACCGATCAGAAGGATAAACAGCTGATTTATTTATTTATTTTATTTGGTCGATCTCTGTTCGGGACTTGTATACAAGCTGCATTGTAGAGCTGCGAAATATGATAATATATACTATTAGTGTAACGGATAACGAATCTCACGGTTCAGATCATATAATGTTTTTTAGTCACGGATCGGACCATTTTTCAGATCAGCCAAAAAAGGGAAGGAGACAAATGTAATTTATTTTCCATTTATTACAAAAACAGCACTGCAAGACACTTTTGGTTTTAACAAACTGTTAGGTTTCACGTATGTTTTGTGGTGTTTTGTTGTTTGTTTTCTGTTTTGCGTGCTCTTCTATCTGCACAAGACTTTTGGCCAGCGGAGAAATTAAAATGGTTGTGCCCAACTGAGTCTGGTTCTCTCAAGGTTTTTTTTCTTCACTCTCCTATTGGTGAAGTTTTTTTTCCCTCTCTGAAAAGCTACTCATCGATGAATTTGCTCTTCAGTGTTTGGACTCAATAATGACTTCAAAGCACACTGAACTGAGCTAAACTGAACTGAACTTAAACACTAAAAACTGAACTACCCTGATCCAGTTACTATGACCATTTATGTGAAGCTGCTTTGACACAATCTACATTGTAAAAGCGCTATACAAATAAAGCTGAATTGAATTGAATTGAATCTATCTCTCGTTGTGTATCCTATCCTGATTCAGGTGTGCAACCATTGGTCGAGTGTGCTGTCAATCAGCATCGTCACTCAATCGGCGCGCCAATAAGGATTGGGTCCGCGCAGTATAAAAGCCTTGCACTTGCGCTATTCTTCAGGAGCGCTTGGCTCACAGCCAGTCTCCTCACTTGTGTCGGCCGGCCTGTTCACTTGTTTGCTTCGTTTAGTTTTATTGTGATTGCTGTGTTCTAGTTTTCTCTTTATTAAGAGATTGATTGATTAGATAAGCTTGTGCAGCTCAGTTTATTGTCTAGTGAGAAGTTGAACGCTCTTTATGAGAATTGGATTATATAAGATCTTGTTTTTGAGATCTTACAACCTGTAATTTTATTAAAAATAAGATAATGAAAAAATCAGCTGAATAAAAATAAACTATAAAATATTCACAGATACTACCAGTGTTGTTGATCAGTCTAAATGTAGAAATCTATTATAATCTGTACAACCCATTTTTAATCTGAGTCTCATTTTCAGTTATTTACTCATAAAACTTATTAACATTTTTCATTGCTAGTTGATAATTTCTGAAGAAATTTTCAGTGGCATATATTTGATGGATTAAATAGCATAATTGCTACATACAACTTTTTTCGAGCGTCCAGTTAAATGCATCTGATGGAGCTTTTAATCTTTACCATAAACATCAGTGGTTTTATCTAAACTATTAACTGTTTTCCCATTACTTCTGCCTGTTTCTAACGTCATAACTAACTTAAAAGACTTAAGACTCAATTTCTTTCTTGATTTTTGCGTTTTCAGATTTGAATGTAGGGATTGGAAGGATTAATAAACATATGCAAATCACCATCATTTATGTTGCGTGGGTGTTGAGATCCCAATCTTTTAATGATTAATCGTGTCGCTTTACACTAAATGCATCAATGCAGGCTAAACAAGTAGTGACAGAAAACACCTTTAATGAAACCCACCACATCTTGAAAATAACCCACCACGACTTCTTTTGTCATCATTATATTTCACAGGAAAGCCTAAATGCTTTCATTTGAATGACGCGAGAGATGCTTTCTGTGTGATCGATACAAATTTAGAATTAATTTACAAGTTAAAAAATGAATTAATCAATGGATCACGTGTGTTCCGAACCATGGGTTGTGATCCATACGAATCAACCGTGATCTGTTACACCCCTAATATATACACTCAAAAAATGATGTTTGCTGTTTCTTCAAAAAACTTTTTTAAAACTAGCTGAAGCTACAATTCTAAAATTTTTTCGGGGACAACTTCATTGTTTTATGTTCAATCCACTTAAACTTGTAACAACTAGTAAGCTAGCATAATTCCTTCATGTTGTCCCAACACAAATAGATTGTGTGGAACCCAGCATTTTTACAGTGTATCGTATGGACAAAATACAATATCTATTGTTTCATATTAAGACTAATTAAATTTTATTAAGGCGACGCAGTGGCGCAGTAGGTAGTGCTGTCGCCTTACAGTAAGAAGGTCGCTTGGTCGCTGGTTCGGGCCTCTGCGTTTCTGTGCGGAGTTTGCATGTTCTCCCTGCGTTTACGTGGGTTTCCTCCGGGTGCTCCAGTTTCCCCCACATTCCAAAGATATGTGGTACAGGTGAATTGGGTAGGCTAAATTGTCCGTAGTGTGTATGTGTGTGTGTTTGTGTGTGTGAATGAGTGTGTGTGGATGGATGTTTCCCAGAGATGGGTTGCAGCTGGAAGGGCATCCGCTGCGTAAAAAAATGTGCTGGATAAATTAGCGGTTTATTCCGCTGTGGTGGTGATTACATATAAAAGACCACATTTCTGAGTATGATATATGAGATAACTGTCGCATAATTACAAAATGGCCATGTTAAAGATCTGATTTCTTTAAAAATAAGTGATCTTCACTGCCTGATTGATATGCGATATAAAGTGGGTCTCAGACCAGACAAGAAGAACTGCATTGAATTCCATTTTTCCTCACCATGTCTTTAAAATATGACAATTTATTTTACCACAGTATTTTTAATGGAGATTCTGTGCTAGCCTGCTGCTACTGAAAGCGCTTGCGTTTACATGGTCTTTTATTTCATTTTACACTTGAACTAAATAAATGCTCAAGTCTATTTAATTGATTACATTTTAATTACATTACAACAGCAATGCGGTAAAATGAACCTAATGATATTAAAGAGCCCATATTATGGGTTTTTGAAAATTCCCCTCCATGTAGTGTGTAACACAGCTCTAAGTGAAGTGAAGTATCCAGCTAAGGCTTAAATCTGTAAGAATACAGTGTTTAAAACGGTTGATTCATCTATAAAAGAGTCGACTCATAGTGCTTCAAACGAGTCGCCTTGATACCGACTCATTAGGTGTTTCGCCATGACGTACGAACGAAACAAAGTTATTCACGTGCACGCGCAAACCCGGGAGATTTTAAACCTGAGGCCCCGCCCTCTGACGCAGAAACCCAGACACACACACACCCACAAACACACGCACACCCACAAACACACACACACAAACATGCCGGTCGATTGAAGTCACACTGCAGATGGATATATTGAGTCTCTACCCAAAGATGAAACATCAGCATTATAACCAAGCAGTTGGAAACTTCTGGAAGCTACATGCTACAAAGAATACTTCATCTGAGTTTGTTAAAGGAAGGATCAGTAAAGAGTAACTTACTGATGGACGTCAGGATGGGTTTCTTCCATTTCTCAAGTGTAAGTACGTGCGGTTAAAGTTGTTGCCTCGTTTACTCTAGCTTGCAAATGTATTTAGTTGTGATTTGTTACTTGTAACTGCGTGTACTGTATCAGGTTAACTGGATATATTATCTTATCGCGTGCAAAGTCACGTTAAAAACGCGACGCGTGCTGTTTGTTTATGGAGCTCCGTGCTAGAGTTCTGCTCCCGCGATTTATTCGGAAATGTATTCCCGCGCCGCAGAAATCTGGCGCGGGGAGGGAGAGAGAGAGAGAGAGAGCGAGAGAGAGCGAACGAACGAACGAGCTTTGTGTACTTTGTGCTGTGTGTGTGTTTTTATACAGACAGCTTGGCTGTCTGGACTGTATACTGGGTGATATTTGGTTGTGTTCTCCGCTCTAGCGGGACCGGGCGCGGTGGGCAGAAAACGGAGCGGGTTCTCAGGCTAAAACCTGGCGGGTGCGGGCTGAAGCGGGAGCGTTGTGATCCGGAGGTGTGTGTGTGTTTTTGTTTGTGTGTGGTATGGCGAGTACACGACTGTCTCCTTCGTTCGGTTATCCGTGGCACTATCCACTCGCCATAGTGTGGCAGCTAAAATCCACGCCTACACTATCGAGCGTGTATGAACTGTGATTACTTTTTAAATTGCTGATTAGCTATTGGCCATTTCCCTCTCTGACTGAAGGCAGTCGACCAATCGCGACAGACTGTCATCGGTCCAATCAGCGCAGATTAGCTCCGCGCTAAGGAGGGGTTTGGGAACAAATGAATCACTGGACGATTCATACAGGAGTCGCTGGGATAATTAGGTAAAAATAAATGCAGATTATAAGACCACGAAAGTGTTTTTTGACCTTGCATGCATATTAGACTGTTGTTGGAGACCCTTACAACCAAGATATGACGCTATTTCATGTATAATATGGGCTCTTTAAAAACAATCACATAAACCGTTCACCAGAAGTTTATAGTTGGCTAAAAAAAGTATAAAGTATTTAGTAATTCATATTCAGTATAAAGTAATAAACACAAATACTCTTATTTCTCAGCTTAATCCTCTACTGCACGCATTATGATAAATCTATAAAAAAAAAAAATTTCCTCTGAGTGCTCCGGTTTCCCCCACAGTCCAAAGACATGCGGTACAGGTGAATTGGGTAGGCTAAATTGTCCATAGTGTATGTATGTTTGCGAATGAGTGTGTATGGGTTTCCCAGTGATGGGTTGCGGCTGGAAGGGCATCCGCTGTGTAAAGCATGTGCTGGATGGGTTGGCGGTTCATTTCGCTGTGGTGACCCCAGATTAATAAAGGGACTAAGCCGAAAAGAAATTGAATGAATAATTATTTGAAACAATCATAATATAGTATTATCATGTATACAACATAAAGTACATATAAATATTTTCTCCAGTAAATATTATAACAAATAAATAACGAATCTAATATATCCAGATGCATCAGAATAATAGCTACTAGCTTACAATGTTTATATATTGTACTATACTAGACTTGTCTTATCTGCCTCTGAGCTAACTTACCTGAACTGTCTGCATCAAATCAAATGTCCAATCTACATCTTCCCATAATCACTAAAACCCATCTGATCCTCACTTTCATCCGCAGGAAGAGCCAGTTCTGTCCTTTTCTTCCTCCGCTTACCATAGAACATGGTGGTGCTCGCTAATACACTGTTCCCTGTATTTATTTCTAATCAAAAGTATTGACATTCAAATTTGATTTTATCCATAATGCAAATTCCATTAACATATGAATAATCAACATTATTCTACTAGCATTCATCTTGTTATTGTTACAACTTAAAAGTTCACAGCTGACCTTGCTAGCTAGCTAATTGTAATATTGCACGTTCCACTATTGAACAGTGTTGTCATTTGACAACATGTAATCTGATCGATTTATAAAAACTAATTTAATAAAAAAAATTTTTGAGTCAACATACTTTACTGGAGGTGATGTTTCCGATTTTTTGTGGATCTGACATCATTTGATCCTTTTTTTTAATTGACATTTACATTTGCATTTAGCAACTACTCACAATAAATGCCAGTCTGTCAGAAATCACACCACAGAAAAACACTGGATGTCATGTGACTTAACTAAAGCACATCATTGGCTAAACTAAGGTCTTCTCTTTCCAACAAAAAAATTTGAATGATGGTTTTGAAGAAACAGTGGCAGGGAAATGAACATTATAAACATGTTGCCATATGGCAACACCATACGGTAGAAGGTTAAAAAAAAGAGAAAGAAATATTAATGGCTTAATTTAGATAAATCAGAATCGCCATTAAAATAAATAAATAAATGAAAAAAATCAAGAACAAATACGGCTTCAAAAATAATAAAAAAACAACACAAACCCCTCTCTGAGTTTAAAAAGGTGTCCAACTGCAAAAATTATGCTTTCTTTTGTTTACTCTTTGAGATGAAATAACAGCGCCAAAAGCAGCCACTGACATGCTAAATACGCTAGCGGCATCAACACTGTAATTACACTCAGCTTTCTTTTCTTTTCCTAAAGCTGAACCGATGGCACAAACAAAGGCACTGAACTGACCCGTATGAGGAAGAGTCTGTTGTTGAGCAGGTTGTTGAGCTGAGAAAGGCCCTGCTCCACTGTCTGCCTGCGAGAGTCGGGTAAATCCAGGTTCTGACTCAGAGGCGCCCCCTTCTGGCCGGGGAAGAAAACACGTTCTGCGTATGTGCGATAATCCAGAAAGGGGATCCCAGGACCACCGACGTCACTGCTCAAATCCATCATCTCCGTCATCAGGTCTGCAGAATAGGGGGATAGTTAGTTTAATGATGCACGTGATGCATAGTTTTAATCATATTATAAGTCAGTCTCTATTTGGCAACACTTTAAAACAATAGTTCTTTAGTTAATGTATTTATTAACATGAACAAACAATTAGTTTGTTTTATTATGGTATTTATTCATCTTTTTTATGTTCATTCATTCCTTCAGCTTAGTCTCTGATTTATCAGAGTTTGCCACAGCGGAATGAACCGCTGCAAGAAAATTTTTTTCTTGTGATTCTGAATTGATTCTCAAAATTCTATATTTAAATTATATTGTGATGGTTGTGAAGGAAAAGGTGAAGCAATTCTAAACTAATTAGAAAATATCATTTTTATATTAACAATTTTTGCTTTGAAGATCTTTTTTTGTTAAAAAGTTGTAAACAAATAAAAAATGAATGCTCACTTTTTGGAAATAAAAACTATTCGTTCTTTTTAATTGCTCTTTTTCATCTGGCGTTTCGATGTTACATTCAGTCCATAGTGTCCATAGATTCCAATCACAACCAAAAGTATAGAGACTCCAATTTTGGTTCAAATGTAAAGTTGGAAAGATGATTAAAAATATTAATTGGAAATAATAATGTTAATAATTGAAAAAAAAAAAAAAATATATATATATATATATATATATATATATATATATACATATATCAAAATTATTAGACCCCTTTGATTTTTTCCCTTTTTTTAATATTTCCTAAATGATGTTTAATGCAAGGAAATTTTCACAGTATGTCTGATAATAATTTTTTTTTTCTTATTTGCTTTATTTCGGCTAGAATAAAAGCAGTTTTAATTTTTTTAAAAAACATTTTAAGGTTAAAATTATTAGCCCCTTTAAGCTATATTTTTTTGGATGGTCTACATAACAAACCATCACTACAACAACTATAAATAATATTTGACTAGATATTATGTTTGTTACTGTCATCATGGCAAAGACCAAATAAGTCAGCTATTAAAAATTAGTTTTTAAAACAATTATGTTTAGAAATGTGTTGAAAAAAAAAAAAAATCGCTCTATTAAACAGAAATTGGGGGAAAAAATAAACAGTGAGGCGAAAACTTTAGGGGTGCTAATAATCCTAACTTTAACTATATACACACACTCACGCACGCACGCACAAACACACACATTATCCTTTCTACATTCTATAATTGTTTTGGAACCGAACCATGATCAGATATGATCAGATTGGGAAGTAATAATATTAATAAACAACATTAATAATAGTTTCATACATTTACAGATGAATCCTGAATTATTAGCCCGCCTGTATATTTTTTCCCCAATTTCTGTTTAACAAAAATATTTTTTGACACATTTTTAATAGTTTTAATAATTAATCTCTAATAACATATTTATTTTATCTTTGCCATGATGACAGTAAATAATATTTTACTAGACATTTTTTTAGATATTAGTTTTCAGCTTAACGTGACATTTAAAGGCTTAGGTTAACTATGCAAGTCATTGTATAACAGTGGTTTGTTTTGTAGAATATTGAAAAAATATATAGCTTAAAGGGGCTAATAATATTGACCTTAAAATGGTTTTAAAATTAAAAACTGCTTTTATTCTTGCTGAAATAAAACAATTAAGACTTTCTCCAGAAGTAAAAAATATTATCGGAAATACAGTGACAAATTTTCTGCTCTGTTAAACATCAATTGAGAGAATTTTATCTTTCTCTGTTGATCATTATTTGGGGGAAAAAAGGGAGGGCGAATGTTTGTGACTAAAACTGTATTTAGCACTTTTCTGGGTACACAAAGCTTTACACATTTAGGGGGAATCTCCTCAGTTTTTAAAGAGTCCCACCCATATATGTTATACAAGTAAAAGCATCCATACCAGTGAACTCTTTCCTGCACTGATCTCCGACATTAATCTCCAGTGTCTCCAGCTGCACCAGCACCTTCTTATAGTCTCTCAGCGCCTGTTTACTCTTCCTCCTTTACAAACACAGAGAGAGAGAAACACAGTTTACAGCTCCTCCCTCTATAAAAACTCTTTCTCCACCATTTCATCAACAGCAGATTCAAGGACTTTTTAAAGCACCATTCATTTTAAATCAAGCACCATTATATTTCATATCCCAGCATATGTATTGCAATCCATGAAAGCTCTTACAGTACTTAACATATCACTTACACTTAATATTTACATAAAAATGATCACAGTAATGATAAACAGTCATGTTCTTTGAATTCAATACTGGTAATATTCAAATGCAGTCTCTGAAATATTGATCAAATGTGCATTATGTATCAAAGTTCTTATGCAAGATTTAAATTTGGGATTTAAATTTTTTAAATTAAGAATTTTTCAGAAGAATTTTTTTTTCATTCAGTTTTTGAGTTAAGATCAATACAATTATTAAAATAACATCAGAAACTTTAAATTCCAGCACTTTCAAGAACATATGTTTGTTTTTAAGTACTTTCCAGGCCTTGAATACATTCATTCATTCATTTTCTTGTCGGCTTAGTCCCTTTATTAATCCGGGGTCGCCACAGCGGAATGAACCACCAACTTATCCAGCAAGTTTTTATGCAGCGGATGCCCTTCCAGCCGCAACCCATCTCTGGGAAACATAAACACACATTCACACACACACACACTCATACACTACGGACAATTTAGCCTACCCAATTCACCTGTACCGCATGTCTTTGGACTGTGGGGGAAACTGGAGCACCCAGAGAAAACCCACGCGAACGCAGGGAGAACATGCAAACCCCACACAGAAACGCCAACTGAGGCGAGGCTCGAACCAGCGACCTTCTTGCTGTGAGGCGACAGCACTACCTACTGCACCACTGCCTCGCCCGCCTTGAATACATATGTCTGAAATACAAGCACTTTCAAGAAGTGGGGAAACCCTGCTTTCTGAATGCTTCATCTTCTCCGCTGTACCTGTACATGAGGATGATGACCAAGACGATGAGGACGACGACCGCCGCTCCTGCTGCCAGGCCGATCTGAGCTGCCAGAGGAACTGGTGAGTGCAGGTCACTGTCATACTGCACTGGGCCCAGGTCAAACGCCAGGCCGCCCATCAACACCTGAGTCACACACACAAACAGCGTTTAACAGTGTTACTGTGTTGTTGGTGTTTCTAAAGATGGACTTTTAAGTTGGATGACAGAAAAGTTAATACTGACTAATAAAGTCCTTCTGTTTTTAAATCCTTGTGGAATAACATTACAAAACCAAGCTGGATAATTATGTAACACTTTACTTTAATAGTCCATTTGAGTATTAGTAGACTGTTTGCTTAATATCTGTTGATACTGCTGCTTCAGCAGACTTTTAACTGACTACAAGAAACTTTGCAAGTACATGTCAAGTTCACTACTAACTCAATGGTCAACAAACGAACCATCAAGATAAAGTGTGGCCGATAATTATGATCTGACAGGCAGTGATTTAGCCATTTTGTGCATTATTTCACTTTCTGTGTAGACAGAAAAACTGAAGTGCAGTTTGTTTGTCTAATCTAAAACTTACACGCAAACTGTATTTAATGCAAGCAGCATCATAAAATATCCTTCTTGTTACATATAAACTTAAAAAACACACAATGAAACAACCAAGGACGGCACTGAACGTAGACTGACCTTTAGTGTGGGTAAGTTACTGTCGTCCAGAGCGAGAGGCTGGACATCAGGTGGTTCGCAGTACAGGTGTGTGTTGTCCAGAGTCTTGACGTCACACTCTTGATTCCCCAGCCAGGCCTGAACCTCCTCTTTACTCATAGCCAACATCAGTCCTTTACCCTAAAGACACAAAACACACACTCAATGCACATCAAGCACATTACAGCTGCTAAAATATAAGAAACATATGCATTCACTGAAATAAAGCTGACATTTTTTATTCAATGCTTACTTAAGGTCACTTGAAATAAATTGACCACTAACTAAATCTCTGCTATAAATTAAACAACTTATTAATAAAGAAAAGAGTTCTTGCAGGCCTCCCAGAATTCATCAAAATTCTTTGGATTCATCTTCAATGCCTTCTCCTTCATCTTACCCCAGACATGCTCAATAATGTTCATATCTGGTGACTGGGCTGGCCAATCTAGGATCACATTGACCTTCTTTGCTTTTATGAACTTTGATGTGGAGGCTGAAGTATGAGAAGGAGCGGTGTCCTGCTGAAGAATTTGCCCTCTTCTGTGGTTTGTCACCCTCAAACTGAATGTAACCCCAAACTATGATTTTTCCTTCACCAAACTTGACTGATTTCTATGAGAATCTTGGGTCCATGCGTGTTCCAGTAGGTCTTCTGCATAATAAACTTACTGTGGCATGGCTGATATTATTAGTTCGTATTGGAGTTTAGAGAATGTGAAAGAATGACCCTTGGGTGTTTCCTGCTTCTATATTTAGCGCCTATCGGGCATAGATATATACACTAGATATCGCATAGATACAGACCCTGAGCATGCATTAACAGTGCTGCCACATTTGTACAGTCCTCCCAGGAAAAAGTAATTCAACCGGACTAGTCAAGGACCAAAGCCAATGTGAAGATGCTGGACTTTAGCGCTGTGTACGAGTGTAGTAACGAGCAAACAAAGAAAACAATGCACAAAGGCAGAACATTTCATAGGTAAGATTTAGTTTTTTTCACGTTTTTGTTTGTTATGAACTTTTGTACTCAACAAGTAACGTTAATGATGATGAAAGTCACCTACTGCATTCACCATAAGGCAAAGTAGCATCAACTTGCACTAAATTCTAGGCTTATGCTAGTTTTGTTGAATAAAATCGGCAAACAATGCAAAAGAATTATGACAACAAGATGCTGCAGTGCTAGAAACTTGTATTATTGTCGGCTAAGTGAATGAGTAGTACATAACGGGGATCGAATAAACGAATCGCTCCCTCAGGTAGATTTAGAAGTGTAAGCCGCAGAGGGGGCGAGTATCAGGACACGGATAAGATCAAATTTAACAGGGAGGGAGGATAATACATTTCCATGCACACAAACACACACTCTTTTTAGCAATGCCCGTGCGGTCACGTATCCATCAATGTAGATGTAATTTAACCATGTGCCATGTAATTTATGTTATTTTTCTAGGCTGAAACGTAGAGGGGACAGAGCTTTCTCTGTGGCAGGTTCTCGGTTGTGGAACACCTTGCCCCTTGAGATCAGAATGGCTCCATCTTCATCCATTCTTAAATCACGTCTTAAAACCTACCTTTTTAGCTTGACTTTTGAAGATTATTTTAATAGTTCATTTTACCGCTAAATTTTTATTTTTTTTTACATTTTTACAGACGTTTTGCTTGCTTTATTTCTATGTTTTTATATTATTTTTTTTTATCTTTACTTATGTACAGAACTTTGGTCAGTCTTGTGACTGCTTTTAAATGTGCTTTATAAATAAATGAACTTGAACTTAAAAGAATATTTGCATACTGACCACCGGGAAAACTCCCCCGATCATACATATATGCATATATGTGTGTATATATCTCTGGCTCTGGATGGCCAGTGCTCCACTGCACCTTGGTCCTATATTCATTTCAAAGTAGCGCTACCCTGTACTAAAATGGCGGCTCTATTGATGCATTTCTTCCAATAGACAACAACAGGGTAGGTGATATCTAATGTGAATATCTATGCCTATCAGGTCATCTTTTATATTCATGTTAATTTAAGATGAATATTTGTGTTAATATATACATACAGATTCTGATATTTTATTAGTTTGTTTCAGATTAAACCACATATATTACCGCCTCTCTTAATTTGAGAATTTTAAAATACTTGAGGATTTAAAGTGCCACATTCTGAAGGGATAAAACATTGAACAATCTTCATCTGTCTCCTTTCATGTCTCTCGCTAGGGCTCGTAGTGGACTAGCACTACACTCAGATGAAACAGTGATACAATCCTTTACAAGTGAAATAAGTTTCATTCAAAGAACTGAAAATACCAACTAGAGTTTAATAAAAAGTAAAACTAAAACCAAACCAAATGGTGAGACTGAAATCAAATAATGGATCCTAAATAGCTAAGAAAACAATAAAATACTGCATCCTTAAAGAAGGTGTTTAAACGTCACCTCTACAGCCAGCACTCCTCCGGGCTTGAATCTGATGGCTGTTCCTCGAGACTCGCTGTTGAGTGGGAACAGGTCTGGGTTTGGATGGTACGTGAACGGCTTGTTCTTGATGCTGCTGAAGTCAATGTGCACATTGTCCATCTCAAACCACACTCGAATCACCCTGGAGTTAGGCGTCACCTCCGGGCTCTTGCAAATCATCTGCTCTGAGGTCACATTAGTGCAACTTTGGCTCTGAAGACACCAAGAAAGAAACATAAGCACTATGCTGTAAAAAAAAATGCTTTTAATTATTAACATCTTTGTCTTGTTTTTTAATCCAAACATCTGAAACTTAAACCAAGAAGCATTTTCGATGTTTTCTGCAGGTTTTAAGGGGGTGATTTTAAAGACCTTAATAAGACCACACTGTAAAAAACTATCCATAAATTAGCAGTTTTCAGTATTTTGTAATTCATGTTTTTATTTTCCACCATTTATTTATGCTTTTGAATTGGATTATGGGACTTTGATCATTCTTCCAACAACTTTTAACCTTGAAAAGCTGGAAAAAGTGACGTTTATTAACATTTTTAATAGTTTAAAGTGATCTATTGTCTGGGTCGGTGTTCTATATTACAATACAAATGCATTGCAATAAACTTGCAGTGCATTTCTGTTATTTTACAAACTTATTTCTCTACATATTATTTCTTTATATATTATATTATGCATATTAACTGCTAAAATGTCAATAAAAGTCACTTTGTTAGACTGTAGAGTTAAATTTTCAACTCCAAAAATCTACAGAGCGGAGATCAACATTCCATAATTTGGGGGGAAAAACCCAAATGGTAAAATAATATAGCAATACTTTCCAAATTCCATCAATAATTCTCTGAAATGGTTGTCAAACCTGTTATTATAAATACAGCTCTTTTTAAAATGCAACTCTTCTTAACATAAATATTGAATACTTGGAGACACAATTTTCCAGTTTAATTTTTTTATTTTATTAATTCAAATGTTTACAAGTTTGATATTCTTATGACTGATTTTAGATCAGGTTTTAACTTATACAATATTAAAAATATTATAATATTAAATAAAGTTTAGAGATGTACTGCTTTTTATTTTCCCCCATGTATTTATGCTTTTGAATTGGATTATGGGACTTTGATCATTCTTCCAACAACTTTTAACCTTGAAAAGCTGGAAAAAGTGACGTTTATTAACATTTTTAATAGTTTAAAGTGATTTATTGTCTTGGTTGGTGTTGTACATTACAATGGAAAAAACATTGTAATAAACTGGAAGTGCATTTTCTGTTATTTAACAGACTTATTTCTCTACATATTATTTTATTACATTATGCATATTAAAATGTTAATAAAAGTCACTTTGTTAAACTGTAGAGTTGAATTTTCAACACAAAAAGTCTACAGAGCGGAGATCAACATCCCATAATGCTAATCATAACCGTAAATGAACAGAAAACACAACAAAAACTGTTGATAACCAGATATTTTTTTACAGTGTAACTAAAGAAACAAACTACATCAATAATTCTCTGAAATTGTTGTCAAACCTGTTACTATAAACACAGCTCTTCTTAAATTACAACTCCTCTTAACATAAACATAGAATACTTGTAGACACAATTTTCCAGTTTAATTTTTCATTTTCGAAATTAAGATGTTTACCAGTTTAATACTCTCATAAATGATTTTAATCAGGTTTAAACTTATTGTTATTGGGAAATTACAATATTATAAATATTATAATATTAAATAGTGGTACGTCTCTAAACTTTACATTTGTAAAAAAAATTATGTTAAAATTAAATGAATGCCATGATTATAGGAATTTAAGAGTTTCCTGCTCTAATTTAAGAACTTTTTAAATCCTTAAAATCCATGTCAAAATCTGTCCATAAGTTTTCTTAGATGTAATAAATACAGTAAGGTAAAGATATTGTTTTGCTTTCAGAAATACTTTTTGTCCATAAGACTTTTCTGAAATGTGAAAAATGCATTAAAGTAAAACCTAGATTTGTTTCCAAAAATGATTAATTAAAGCAAAATTAAGTGAGTTTATCTCTAAAACAAGCAAAAATAATCTGCCGATAGGGTAATTAAAATAATGTTTTTGCTTTTAAATTATTTTGCTTGTTTTAAGAACATTTTACATTAAGTTTGTTTACTCGTCTACAAAATGCTTATAGATTTTATATTTGTACACACTCTCAATGGCGATTTTATTGGGTACACCTTACTAGTACTGGGTTGGACCCTCTTTTGCCTTTAGAACTGCCTTAATCCTTCGAGGTAGGTACTGAGAATATCCCTTAGAGATTTTAGTCCACATTGACATGATAGCATCATGCAATTGCTGCAAATTTGTCGGCTACACACCCATGATGCGAATCTCCCTTTCCAGCACATCCCAAAGGTGCTCTTTTGGATTGAGATATGGTGACTGTGGCGACTATTTGAGTACAGTGAACTCATTGTCATGTTCAATAAACCAGTCCGAGATGATTCGCGCTTTATAACATGGTGTGTTATCCTGCTGGAAGTAGCCATCAGAAGATGGGTACACTGTGGTCATAAAGGGATGGACATGGTCAGCAACAATACTGATGATGATGCTCAATTGGGACTAATGGGCCCAAAGTGTGCCAAGAAAATGTCTCCCACACCATTACGTCACCACCATCAGCATGAAACATTTATGTTGTTGTTGCCAAATTCTGACCCAACCATTCAAATGTTGCAGCAGAAACCGAGACTCATCAGACCAGACAACGTTTCTCGAATCTTCTATTGTTCAATTTTGGTGAGCCTGTGTAAATTGTAGCATCAGTTTCCTGTTCTTAACTGACATGAGTGGCACTTGGTCTTCTGCTGCTGTAGCCCATCTGCCTTAAGGTTAGACGTGTTCAGAGATGCTTTTCTGCAGGCCTTGGTTGTAACGAATACTTATTTGAGGTACTGTTGCCTTTCTATCATCTGGAACCTGTCTGGCCATTCTCCTCTGACCTCTGGCAATAACAAGGCATTTTCGCCCATAGATTAGCACAGCTCATTTGCCGCTCATTTGATTTTCTGAGCATTCTCTGTAAAGCCTAGAGATGGTTGTGTGTGAAAATCCCAGTAGATCAGCAGTTTATGAAATACTCAGACCAGCCCATCTGGCACAAGTAACCATGCCACGTTTAAAATCACCTTTCTTCCCCATTCTGATGGTCGGTTTTAACTGCAGTAGATCATCTTGACCATGTCTACATGCCTAAAAGCATTGAGTTTCTGCCATGTGGTTGGCCGATTAGAAATGGGCGTTAACAGGCATGTTGTTAGGTGTACCTAATAAAGTGGCCAGTGAGTGTATTTGCACTAGAAATGAGACAAAAACTCTAAGAACTTGTTCTTTTTGTGCAGTGAAGAGTTTCTTTTGCCATCTTAGAAAGCTCAAATTTACTCAAGTAAATGATTAAGCAATCCGTGAATAAATATTTGAACCTTTGAGAATGAATCAAATGTATAAGTCGTGTTTGCATTAATTTTGAAAGCGAATTCAGTGTTTGATATGTAAAATTGGCTGAAGCGATCTGTGAAATGAGTTTTCCGACTGCTTTACCGTAACCAAGGGATTCCTGACAGAAACGTGGGTGTATCGGCGTCTTCTGGCTTCAAAACGGTCTCGGGGCTCAAAAGAGACCCACATCTTCGGCTGCTGAACCACATTTAGGTTTTGGCCAGTCACAAATATAAAACGGCCACCCCTAAAATCAAATGAAAATGTTAGAGGAACTTGGTTGCATGACTTGCATGTGGAAGAGATGAAAGTAAAGGCCATTTACATCTGGGATGATGACTATAATAATGAAAAATACAGTTTTGAAATGGTTTTATATTTAAAGGTCCTGTGAAGTGCTTTGAAAAGTGCATTTTTATTAAATGTTTGACGCAATCTCCAAAACACAAAGAGAGGGTGGGATATAGAGTAGCCCCTCCCCTTTTATAAAAACAGCCAATTGTGTTTTGCTTCATCACGGCTCTGCCAGTGAGAGTGGTTGAGCTCAAGCGCAGCAAATGAGAAGCGTCTTGAAGGGGGTGGGGCAAGTCAGATACTAGAGAGCATTTGATTGGTTAAGATGTAGTAGTTTTAATAGTGCAGGGGTGGCCAACGCTGTTCCTGAAGAGGCACCTTCCTGCAGATTTCAGTTGCTACCCATATCAAACACACCTGAACCAATTAATTAGGACCTGAACACCACGTGATAATAACAAGCAGGTGTGTTTGATATAGGTTGCAATTGAAATCTGCAGGAAGGTGGCTCTCCAGGAACAGGGTTGGCCACCCCTGTAATAGAGTGTGTAATAGTTGTTGGACAAACTTCAAGCTTTTTTAAGGTATATATTCTGTAAATGCAAATGCAGTCACTGTTTTGGAGCACACTAGACAGACCCCCCTAGTTTTTCGATATTCCGTGATCGTTGAATCCAACACAAAATCAACAAAAAGTTGCAAAATCCTTATTTAAATGCAAAATGACTGCAAAAAATGTAAATAATCTCATAAAACATCAAATTCCAAACCATAGAATCAAAATATATTGATTTCAATTGGCTATTAATTGTTTTATGTGACTTATAGACGTTGCCCACGTGATGGATTTGAGTGTCTCTCGCAAAATGACGTTTCACCTGCGCCCCCTCAATCATTACATTACATGGAAATGGGGCAGACAGACACAGATAAAGCACGAGTGATTTACATGTGAAGTCAATGCAAAGATGGAATTAGACATCCTGTGGCCTAAATTGGTATTTTTAAGCGTTTAACGCACTTCAGACTGCAAAAGAAAGTGGGAAACATCTAACAAACGGAGCAATCGAACAGACAGAAACACAAGCACCTTAAAAGGATGAAGATTGGTTCAAGGATGACGGCTGCTGGACGTGACTGAATTGAAGGACATTATTTGTGCTTTACATGTATGATTGGTATTATGGTGTGTGTGTAAAATCGATAAATGTTTTCGTTTAACTCTTTTCCCGTAGTTAATGAGAGAAAACGCTTCCCTGCCATTGACGAGTTTTACGGCAATCTGTTTTTAGGTGTACAGTAGAGGAAGCCCTAACGCATGTCCTGGGTTTGGTACATTATGTCAGATGCTCCGGACACTGAAACCTGAGAGAAAGTAAGATTGTGGATAAAAATAAGAGTTATACAACCTCCCTTTGGCTTAACTCCTACCGTTTCAGAGCTGTTTTAGATCCTGTCTCGACAAGAGACCAAAATAAAAAAGCTTTATTTTTATGATTTGTGTCATTGTCATTGCCATTGCTATATATATATATATATATATATATATATATATATATATATATATATATTTTTTTTTTTTTTTTTTTTTTTTTTCAATTGCAAAATTGTCTGCAAATTTCTGGGAATTGCCACCACAAAATCAGTTATTTTTTGCGCAAAAAAAAAATAAAATACAAAAAAAATTCACAAAAAAAGAATTAACTAGGAAACTAGGGGGTCAGACAAGATATATTCTAAACTAACATACTGATTCTAACATCTTAAAAAAAGTTTAATTAATTTTAATTTCATAAGACCTTAAAAATTCTTAAATACATTTCCTTGCCTTGGTCTTTTGACATATGAGTAATATACATTTTATAGCCTAAATCATCATGCTCGTTACAAACAAGTTGTACGTGACATTTATTTTTATTACATTTCTTTAGCATAATTTGCTTTTAAACTTATTTGTTGTCCAGTTGGGTTCTGTGCAATAAATAATAAACATTCTAATCTATGATAGTTACTTTCCTTAGTAATTAGTTACTTTTAAAATGAGGTATTTTAGTTACAGATTGTGAGATGTAACAAGTAACTATGACTAATTACATTTTTTAAGCAACATGTCCAACATTAATAGTCATTATGACTTGTGTGAACGGGCCTTAAAGGGACAGTTCACCCAAAATATGTAATTCTGTCATTGTTGACTCACCCTCAACTTGTAATAAAACGGTTTGTATTTCTTTCTTCTGAAGAACACAAAAGAAGATATTTTGAAGAATGTTGGAAACCATGACTTCCGTAGCATCTTTTTTTCCCCTACTGTAGATGTCAATTGTTACCGGTTTCCAACATTTCTCAAATTATCTTTGTTTTGGTTCAACCAAAAAAAAGAACCTATAAATGTCCACAATCTCTTGAGGGTGATCAAAATAATGATTAAGTTGTCATCTTTACTCTTTCTTTAAGACTTTATCACACTCACCCGTAAAAACTCTCTGTAGGATCTGCGTCAGTAATGAGCGGATCCTCCATATAGCTGAAAAGGACATTACTCAAAATTCTCTCTGCTTTTCCGAACACAACCCTGAGCAGCACTTTTCCAGTTTGGTTTGCGTGACTGGTGTGACAAATCATCCTTGTGTCACTCACTTCCTTACTAATAAAAAAAAAAAACACACACACACAGTTCGAGTTAAATAGATGCTGCCTCAGTATCTTTTAAGTGAACTGCATTTGCATTTTTGCCAATAAAAGGATGAATGATAATAGGACTCACATGCGACAGGGCTGTGAACCCAGGAAGGCCTGCAGGCCAGTGATTTGGTCGCTCCTTTGTTGAAGGTTTTGTCCTGTCAGGAGCTGTGACCCATACACCATGAGCAACGTACCTCCGGCCAAGGGCCCTTTTTCTGGGACAATCCTGCTCAGCTGTGGGTTCTGATATGAGAAGGTTTGCTGGGACTCTCCTCTCTCTGATCCTCTGACAGTGATGATGACCGGTCCGGCTGAAGCATTTACACTTGCCTGGAGCTCACATACTATCCTGAGAACAGAAATAAGCATATAAGAAGTCTGATGCAAATTGTCAGTTTGTTTACACTAAAGCAGTCGTTTTAATGTGTTCACACTTAGGTGCCATTCACACCAGTGGGTTTTTGTTTTAAAAAGTTCAGTAAGTCCACTAAAGGAGATCGAACGTTTTCATATCTGGCTTCAGAACACTGGAATGGCTTTTATGATAATGTCCGAGGCTCAGACACAGTCTCTAAGTTTAAAATTAGACTAAAGACTTTGAGGACTTCTCATTGAATTATTGATTTGTCATATTGTTAAAAAATGTATATTCAATGTCAATACAATACAATATTTATTTATAAAGCACATTTAAAAACAACCAAGGTTGACCAAAATGCTGTACATAAGAGTGCTAAAGACAGAGAAGCAGAATATAAAAGAAACATTTAACAAACAAAAGCAATGAAACAGTGAGCATGGAGTATTAAAAGCGAGAGAAAATAGATAGGTCTTTGAAACATATTTAAACACACAAATGGAGGGGGAAAGTCTTCTGTGAGTTGGTAGACTGTTCCAGAGTTTAGGACCAGTAACTGCAAATGCTCGATCACCTCGTTTTTTTAAGGTGTGTTTTGTGCACGGTGAGTAAAATGAAATGATCATAAGATCTCAATGATCGAGAGGGGGTATACGGACAAAGCAAGTCAGTAAGGTACTAAGGAGCAAGATTATTGACGGCTTTGTAAACTAATGATACAATTTTTAAAATCAATTCTGTATTTAATGGGTAACCAGTGAAGCAAGGTTATAATAGTTTTGGATTTTTTATTAGTTTTAGTTTCTATTTTGTTTATAATAATAATAATAATAATTCCTTACATTTATATAGCGCTTTTCTGGGCACTCAAAGCGCTTTACACACAATGGGGGGGAATCTCCTCATCCACCACCAGTGTGCAGCATCCACCTGGATGACGCGACGGCAGCCATTTTGCGCCAGACCGCACACCACACACCAGCTGATTGGTGGAGAGGAGACAGCGATGAAGCCAATTGAATATGGGGATGGTTAGGAGGCCATGATGGACAAAGGCCAGTGGGCAGATTTGGCCTGGATGCCGGGGTTAAACCCCTACTCTTTTAACGACCACAGAGAGTCGGGACCTCGGTTTAACGTCTCATCCGAAAGACGGCGCTCACTGAGCAGTATAGCATCCCCGTCATTAGGACCTGGATGGTCCTAATGACTGCAGGTTGGGCGCCCCCTGCTGGCCTCGCTAACACCACTTCCGGCAGCAACCTAGCTTTCCCATGTGGTCTCCCATCCAGGTACTGACCGGGCGCAGCCCTGCTTAGCTTCAGTGGGCGACCATGTGAGAGTTGCAGAGAGCTAGCTGCCGGCGACTATGGAGTTTTGACTTTTTGTTTTCAAATTCAGTTAGTTTTAATTATTTTTAGAGGGAGATTTACTAGCTTTTATTAGTTTCTATATTTTGAAATTATTTAGTTTTAGTTTAGTTTTTATTAGTTTCAGTATTTTTTTTTTAACAGGCATCTAACAGAGAATTTTCTTATTGCCCAAGTACAATTCAGTTTTATTTTCGTTAAAATTTAAAAAATAGCTTAAGAGCCAAAGCTTAATCTCCTCTAAGCAAGCCAGGAGTGGTTGTAAGCCATTTGCATCCTTTTGTTTTAGACAAAAATACATCTGACTATCATCCACATATAGATGGAAGGAAACTTATTTATTGAAAATGGAAGCAAGAGTGAGCATATACAGGGTGAACGATGCAGGTTCAAGGATTGATCACTGTGAAACTCCATAGTTGAGAGGAATATTGGATGAGGATTGATGGCCAATGCGCACACTAAAACATCTCCCTACCTAAACCCTACCACTAAATCAAAGCCTCACAGGAAACATTCAGCATTTTTACATTTTCAAAATACTTAATTCTGTGTCATTTATAAGGCATTTTCCTCATGGGAAACAAAGCAAAAATGTCCTTACAAGGTCAAATTTAGAATTCGAATTAGACAGAAATTTGATCTATATTTAAACATATTTAAATATTTAAATTTAAATATTTAAATATTTAAATATTCAAACCAGCAACCTTGTTGCTGTGAGGCGACAGCACCACCCTCTGCGCCACCGTGCTGCACCATGTACATCTCTTACAATCTTAATTAAATTAACATCCCCCTCCCTCCCTCAATGACATCTCTTCTCTAATAAAGTGTTTTCTGACACAAGGGCGGAATCAACTAGTCAATTATATGAGATCCACCAATACCAAACCCCAACCGTCCAATCAATCCCTCATACACTAAATCAGGCCCCGCCCTACATTTGCTTTTATTTAAGCAGCTGTTTTACTGATATGCATCACAATAGGACAAAACTTGTATCAGAACTTGTTTCATGTTGATTTTAACAAAGGAGCTTCACCTGGTGGAAATGCGATAGGCCTCGGGAAGAGGTCTACAGGTCACTCCTGCCACAGTCACGCCTGCCTGAATGTCCTGAAAGCTTTGTCCCAGGTTTGAACCCTGGATCGTCAGCAGTATGCCACCCTCCAGCGGCCCGGTGAGTGGCTCAACCTGCCAGGAGATGAAAAAGTAAAAATTACAAAGAAGTTCCACCTCTTTAGCATTGAAGGAGTTATGATGTTTCTAACTGTGTTTTATGCATTAATAAAATATAAAATATATATGAACTTTTTTTGTGTGTTTAACCTCAAATAACCTTGCTTCATAACAAGTTGAATTCAGAGAACTTGTTATCAGCAAAATGGTACAACTCTTTCTTTTAGGATGGGCTGCTTTTTCTATCTTGCAGAAATGTTGGGGGGGTTGGGGGTCACGGATGGGTAGGTGCAGGCTCACACTCTTTTGTGTGTTCTGTTATGCATGTGTCCGTAAATTTTCTGTGCAGAGTAGCTGTTCTACCTGATATTTGGTGATCGGTGACCTACTATTGGTTGAGAAAACATAGCAGGCGCCCCTGGGTGGGGCTGTAGATAGATGTCTGACACAGGCCCGCTTTACACAAGTACATTTTAGTTTTAAAACAGCGTTTTAGAATGAAAATGATCCAGGACCACAATAGCGTTTCACCCAGCGTTTCTGAACAACTCTCCATCTACACCAAACCACTGAAAACGCACATCACGTGACCACACACACACTCTGGCATGCGCTGCAGCATATATAGCCAGATGAGAGCTGTGCTCGTCGGACTGTTCATCAAGGAACTCCCGCTGGAGTGATATTTAATTAATCTTGTTGTCTATATCTAATGACATATTTCCCGACTTTAGCCTTTGAAATTGTTCTCAGGTAACGTGCTTTGGTTGAGCGCAAAGATAAGTTAATTTAACCACGTACATTCCGTATATTGACTAATTGTTTGCCTTTATTTCCTATAATGTATAAACTTATTGTACGTTATACTTTTATAATGGCCATTATTGATTACTAAAACTGATATTCAGCAATAGAGAGAGTATGTTTTGTATTTTCAATGAAAATGAAAGAAGGCAGTGATGTTATAGGCTCCGTTTTGTTATAAATATGCATACAGTGAAAATGACACTCATATATTTCAACATTTCTGCTGTCTGTTAAGTTGTTAATATCCAAATGAAAATAGCAGTTCCTTATATCATGTTTTCATTGTATTGTTAAGAAAGTGAAACAACATAAGTATCCAGGATGATGTGAATAAGATTATAAAGTTTCCTTTAAAGATTTACCGACATGTCCTCTGGTAAAGTTTTCCATACCAATGTCTTGCGAAGTCTTAACTTACAAGGAGAGGATGCAGGACTGAACTGTGTGTAGGCTACTTAATATTGAGGAAAAGCCCCAATCAGATCCAATCTCCATTTTCAGATGTCTCCATTTTTCCCTAATCACACTGAGACGGAGCAGCAGTGTTTTAGAGTGAAAACGGCCTCTCCAGCGTTTCCAAAACGCTCCGTATTCAGTGTTTGAAAACTCCGGCGTAGTGTGGATGGATGGCGTAACTGTAGCAAAACTTATTCGTTTTAAAACGAAAACTCATTAGTGTAACTGAGGCCACAGACTACCTGTCCTGCTGATGTCTGCCACCCAGGGCCCTGTATGCTTTATCCATTTGATTCATTAAGTTGATTTGAACTTATCTGAAGCCTCTGAATGATCTTTGAACCTCAGGGACCAGTGGTAAGGCCAACAGCATTTAATTGACTGTTTAGTCAGTTTGGCACAATGAATATGGCACAAATGGTGATAAATATAGTGTTTTTTTTTTTACTTGTGTTTGGAGAGCACACAACACCTGCCAAATGTCTTGTTCAAATAGTAATAATTTTTTCAAAGAACATAAAAAAATTATTTTTCATAGCTGGTAAAATAAAAAGGCTTAAAATACAATGCATTAGCATTAGTAGGATTATCACTGCTTTCATAATATTCCAAAAGCTTTATAGAAAAAAATAAAATCACATAAAAGAGACACTGTTTGTATTTGTGACAAATATATAAAAACTGAACATTACTGAAACATTAACATCAATAAAAACTGTTATGTATGACTGAAAACCAATAACAACAGATCACAACACAGCAGCAAATCATCATAAAGCAATTATTTGTGAAGGATCATGTGACAATAAAGACTGGAGAAACGACGATGCTGAAAATGTAGCTTTAAATCATGGTAATATTGCAAATTATATTCAATACGAGAACAAAATTTCACAACATTACAGTACTTAAGATCAAATAAATGCAGCTTTCGTAAGCAGAAGAGGCTTCTTCTAAAATATTAACAAATCTCCAGTCTTCTGACAGTAGTTTATGTATGTGTGTGTGAAATTACGGAAAACAAATGGCTATATATATGATTAAAGTAAAGAGCAACCTCAATACAGCACAAAATGTATGGTTGCTCTCTTGAAGCTCCACATGGAGACAGCTGCTGAATACTTAAACTAAATCCTCAGATCCTCCAACACAAACGTCCACTTTTAAAAAGATCAGTGACAGCTTCTGCTTTTACTTTTGACATTTATGCATTAGGGAGAAGCTTTTATCAAGCGGTATATGTTTCATCGCAGCATTCCCACAGAATCAAATCCCATAAACCGTTGATGTTTTGATGACAGGTTTATGATTATGCAAATGACAACATGATCAGTGCTCTTGGCTATAATGTACAAGATAAACCAACTGAAAAAACACCACTGACATGGAAACTAAAAAAAAAAGTATCTTTGTGGGCGATTAATTTCTCAGTTCAGTCATGAAGCTTAATTTTAGAGCATGCATTGATGTACCTCAGTGATTAGAGGTGGAGGACAGGTATCCAAAGCTCCACTGGTGCAGGACTGGTTATACACACAGCTGGGGGTTTCATCAGCACACCACACACACCCGTAACTCGCTGCAACTGCACGACACTGGCTGCAGTCGGACTGACCCACTGAGCAGTCGTACAGCTGCACTGTAACACACACACATACGCACACATGTAAACAGACATGAAAACGTGCTAGACATATTACAGTTTTACAAAAAGGTTTTTAAGTTTGGGATTGTAGAGGAAAGGACTTTAAAGTTTTCTAACTGGCCAATGGCATGATCTATTACAGTGGCTATCAACACTTTAAAAATGCTAGATTCCAAAGAATTACACATTACTAAACATTTTTCGGTCACACTTTACAATAAGGTTCATTAGTTAATGTTAATTAATGCATTTACTAACATGAACAAACAATGAACAATACATTTACTACTGTATTTGTTCATGTTAGTTAATGAAAATACAGTAGTTCATTGTTAGTTCATGTTAACTCATGGTGCATTAACTAATGTTAACAAGCTTGGACTTGGATGGTAATAATGCATTAGTAAATGTTCAATTATGATTAATCAATGCTGTACAAGTGTTGTTCATGATTAGTTCACGTTAGTAAATGCATTAACACAAATATCCGTTTCTTTTCCAATCTATCCCAGTATATATTAACGAAACATTTTTTTTTTAAATAGACAGGATGATTATCCAACACATTTGGAAAAAAAAAATCCCAGAAGCAAGAAGATATATTTACAGAGAAATAAAATGAAAGCAGGGATGAGTTTACCGCATTTTCAGTTGTATTACTGGGCATGTAATATAAGAGTACTTTTTTTTTTTTAGGATGAAAGAGGGGTTAACAGATTGAGGGGACATGGAAAATAAGTCATGTTCCCCTTCCTCTTGGCCAGCTTTACTTTACTCAGCTTTATCTGCTCCCCTCACATCTCGATTAAACAATCCAGTGGTTTCTAATTCATTTAAAATTTGGAAACAGGTTAGAAAACACTTTAAGTGGCAAACATGTTCTGTCTTAAGCCCACGGACAGAGAATCATTCATTTACCCCTTCTCAAACTGACTCTCTATATATTATTCTGGTCAAATAAAGGGATACACTCCTTTAAAGATCTTTTCATTGGTAATTGTTTTTCAGCGTTTCAACAATTACAGCAGACATTTGATCTGCCAAGAACCCCTTTTTTTTTTTAAATATCTACAAGCTCGCAGTTTTGCCCTAAAGAATTTTATATCATATCCAATTGAACTACCAACCTCTCTATAGAAGAAACTTTGTTTCTACAGAACCCATTTATGAAAGGAGGAATTTCAATTATATATAACAAATTGTCTCAAAATGGCATGGGAAGAGTATCTTGGAGCTAGAAATGGGAAGAAGCACAAGAACAAGTTCAATTTAGTTCTGTGTGTATCAGGCATGGTTTAATACAATTTAAGATTCTGCACCGACTCCACCTGTCTAAATTAAAACTCTCTAAGATGTTCCCTGCCGTATACCCACTGTGTGATAGATGCAATCAAACCGAGGCATCGCTTGGTCACATGTTTTGGAGTTGTTCTAAAATTGTTAATTATTGGATTTCAAGTTTTAAATTAATATCAGAATTGGTGGGAAAACAAGTATAACCTGGGCCAATTTTAGCTGTATTTGGTGTCAGTGCAGTTGATGCAGAATTATATATGTATATAAATATATATATAAATATATATAAATATATATATATATATAAATATATATATATATATATATATATATATAAAAAAAAAATATATATATATATATATACACACACACACACACACACACACACACACACACACACACACACACATACATATATGTATATGTATATATATATATATATATATATATATATATATATATATATATATATATATATATATATATATATATATATACATTAATTAGAATATTATTAAAATTATAATTTTATATTATAATTATATATTAATTATATGTATTTATATAATGTTTTTATGTATTTAGGTTTTGCAAATTACAACCCAATGTACAATAATAAAACTGGTTCATTTGATCATTTTCAAAGATTGACTGTAGAAAAACTGTCATGATACTCACAGCGGAGATGTGGTGCTGAATCTATACGCTGCGTCCCCCATTGCAGGTACACAGGGGCAGAATATTCAAACTGCTTTCCTGAGTACCGAAACTGCACAAAAAACAAAAAAAAATCAATGTATAATCAGCCAGGTGCATGGCCACAAATTATGCACGACACCATCAACAAATCCATGTTTGAATAGCTATGTTTTTCTGGCTGCTGTCATAAATTACAGCCATTATCAGGGCAGACGTCATACGTGAGTCTATATTAACTGCAGCGGCTGTAAAGCAATGCGAATAAATGGACTCTATTAATATCACCTGATGAGCCTCGCACTTGAACACATGCGTCCCCGTTTCTTTGCTGATTTCCAATGAAGCTGGCAAACGCAGCTCCTGGCCTTCGATGATCAACATGCAGGCGTAATCTTCCTCATCCTGTTCAGAAAACCACACAGTCAAATGCTAACAACGAGACCCCATTATCATAAATGTGTTCACCCAGACCCTCATGAACATGGGGAATAATGGCCTCTTAAAATGCACAAGCATGAAACGTCAAGGTCAACATATTGACTCAGGCACAATGGATTGGGTGGAATGATGAATGGCAGATGAGCTTCACCTCGAATATGTGCAGGTTTTTGCCCTGCAGAAAGACTTCGGTGTCAAAGCCCACAGGAACCAGAGGAGAGCTCTGAAGGGCCCAGACGCAAGGGCAATATTCAGGCCCGCGGGGCGTCGACTGCTCCTGTTCACACACACACGCAAACACACACACGCGCAAACACACACACGCAAACGCACACAGGCACACACGCACGCACACATGCACACACAAAATAAGACTTTCGATAATAGCAAAGCTGACCTCCACCTGCTCATTTAGTGTGTTAGAGTTAAATGCAAATGACCTGCAGAAGCTGTGATTTGTTTGTACAGAGCAGATACTGTAAGAATGCAAGATTATTGATTGAGTTTTTTGTAATTTTGAACATAATACATTTTTTAAATTAAGTTGTTTTTGGAAAGTTAATTTTATTACCAATAATAATAATAATCAAAACATTATCATTTGAATAGAAATAAAATAAAACATATATATACATAGCCATGGCCACAATATAAAATAATTGTGTAATTAATATATATTATGTGTGTGTAATTAATATATATTATGTGTGTGTAATTAATATATATATATATATATATATATATATATATATATATATATATATATATATATATATATATATATATATATATATATATATATATATATATATATATACAGGGCTTTACATTAACACCCGCCAACCCGCCAAATGCAGGTAGATTTCAGCTCTGGCGGGTTAGACAGACACCTCCACTAGCCACTTTGGCTGGTTGGAAATTATTTTTAAATTGTAGTTTTCTTAAAAGCAGGGTTCGACAATAAGCATGATGGCCCAATATTAGTGCAAATGTGATCTTAAAATCGAGAAGCATTAATTATTACTCTTTGAACAGATTATAAACAGACCTATATTAATCGTGTGCGCGTGATCATCCTTTCATTATCAAACATTGTATGTTTCACCTGCTTTCTTTTGTTTACAGTTATTTTTTTTAAATATGGTTTAATTATATTTGTTTACAATAACATTGCTTCAATGGGAGATTACTCCCTGTTTATGTGTAGTTAACTGCTGATCTTGGACTTTTAACCAGGACAGATTACTGTGCGTATTTTAGATCCATGAAAATAATTCTATAAAATGCATTCTATCCGGCATTCTATAAAATGCCTAGGAAATATATATTTTATGCCTAAAATCAAACGTTAATGTATGAAGTGATTGCTACTTTATATAATGCTTAGGTACTCTATTGACGTCTTTCTTGGCTGCTGCATGGAGGGCGCCATAACAACCAGCGTCTTCCGGTAGAATGTTTAGAACTTCCATTTACAGCGTTTACAACAGGTAATTTGCGCTCCCAAAATGGGTTTTAATAGCGTTTTCAGTGGATTTGGAGTGTTTTTGTGATGTACAACTGAAAAGTGTGCGTTAAAGCCGTTATATTTTGTCAGATCTGTGGTTCAAGCGCGAGAGAAAACGTTCTAGTTCACGTGTCTGCCATCAGATGTAAAGTGTGTGTGTGTGTGTTTTTCTGGCCTGTCAGCTGTAAGCGGCTCTTCAACAAGCACACACACATGCACAATACTTCACTGCATTATATAGCAAACCAGATTACTGGCATGAACCTTAACAGGTATGCAAGTCATGCACTTTACAAAAATGACAAATAAAAGTCTCTTGTGTATGCTCTGCTGGCTGATTTGCATGTTTATTCTACTCGGGAGCCATTTATGTTTCATTTAGGTAGTTTGTGTTGTGTAGTATTTACCACGGTTTGTGCTTTTCTGACATTTCAAAATAGCACTTTCTTTTTTCACTTTATCACAGCTATTAAATCAGTGTGTTAGTGGGACAGTACAGGTTATGTGTGTGTGTGTGTGTGTGTGTGTGTTACGACTGAAGTTTTTTATTTATTTATTTATTATTGCGGATTGTACTCTGTCTTTTTCTTTAGTCCCGCCTCCTTGTTGTTTTTCTGTTGTCTCATAGGCTCCCATACCGGCGTGATTCCCTGTTCTGATTGGCTGCTGGTCGCAAAAGCATGTATAAAAAGGAGCAGGGATCGGGGAGCTCATTTCTGTGCGTTCGGAGTTTGGAGTGGAGCTCCTGGGTTTCCCTCACCCCTTCGGCCGACAACCAACAACAACCATTCTACTGATGACCATCATTCGTTAAAATATTTTTGAGAGTTTGAGCGTGTAGGGGTGACCTGCCTATTTATTTGATTACTTTTGACTTTATGTTAGGAAGTAAGGTAAGCTTTTTTGAATTTTTCTTTAAATAGCAATAGGTAATTTAGTGGATTTATTTTATAGATTATTTTGTTTGTTATTTTGGCCTGTGGTCACCCTGAAGAAATGCTCATTTATATTAACCACCTTTTTCTATAATAAATTTATTCATATATACTCTCAACTGAGTGTGAGTTTGGTTGTCGACCGAAGGGAATCTTTTGCTTTAAGTTTTGTTTTGTTTGGGAAATCCACCACCCCAACACATTTGTTTTTTTCTTCTTCGTTTATTATGCCCTTTTTGCTTCCCCTAGACTTGGGGCGTAATAGTGTGTGTGTGTGTGTGTGTGTGTGTGTGTGTGTGTGTGTGTGTGTGTGTGTGTGTGCCAAACACTTTGGAGAATTACTTTTGTTTGGGCTGATTTTATTTTTGAAAGAAAGAGAAACTGTTGACTTTGGCGATGACGAGGCTTCATTTAAACTGCAGAAGATGCCATCTGACAATGAGGAGAAAATGCCTCACAGCAACTGTTTTCCATCCTATTAGATCACATTTGTTTAAACAATCAGTCCAGGAGATGGTGCTGATCGACAACAGTATTAGTTCAAAGATGTTAAAAGCAGGTAAAATAGGTTAAAACTATCATTTCAAAGCTGTCCAAATGTTACTGTAATACGCATCAGCTGGATCAGATGGACTGGAAGTTCTCCTTGCGCATACACGCAAAACAAAATGGGAATTTTGCGTTCTAAGAAAAAAGTCTATAGAATGCAGAGTTGCCATGTGGCAAAGTATGTAACTGCCCTACCCCCCGCCATTTTTCCCGCCACTGATGTTGGCGGTGACGCTTGGGCCATTGTTTGATGATGGCGATCGAAGCATGTGAGTGTTGATTGTTATTGTTAGACAAGCGTATTGCCGGTACAGGGACTACCACATCACAGACAATATTGTAACAAATATTTCATATAAGGGCGGGATCAACCTGTCACTCACATGATACCCACCAATAGCAAATCACCATAATCCCAGAATCCCAAATGACAAAATGAATCCCCGCCCTACAATTTGTTCCAGTTTAAGAAGCCTATTGATTGCAGTAATCCTTCATTTTTGACCTTGAGAAAGAAGAAAGATCTTTACACTGATAATGACAGGTCGCGACCTTGTGCACTGTCCACAGGGGTCATGTGTAGAGCTCAGGAAATGAGAAAGCGGTGGAGGAGATGAACACTTACCCTGCTATTATAGATGACGTGTTGACGAGGGCAGCTTTTACGATGAGTGCAGAGCTCATCCTTCACACACCAGTGACATGGCCACACGCTGCTCACACACGCCATGCATCTACAGCACATAACATTAAATGAATGTGGGAATGTGCTGTTATAGCATAGCCAAAATACAGTTGAAAATACAGAAACCAAAACTATTAGCCCCTTTATATTTTGCTTCGCCAATTTCTGTTTAACATATAAGATTTTAATCAACACATTTCTAAACATAAACGTTTTAATAACTCATCTCTAATAACGGATTTCTTTAATCTTTTCCATGATGACAGCACATAATATTTGACTAGATATTATTCAAGATACTTCTAAACAGCTTAAAGTGACATTTAAAGACTTAATTAGGTTAATTGGGCAAGTCATTGTATAACGATGCTTTGTTCTGTAGACAACTGAAAAAAATATATTGCTTAAGGGAGTCAATATTATTGACCTTAAAATGGTTAAAAAAATTAAAAACTGCTTTTATTCTAGCCGAAATAAAACAAATAAGACTTATAAAAAATATTATCAGACATACTGTGAAAAAAATTCCTTGTTCTGTTAGGCATTGTTTTGGGAAAAATGTAAAATAATATATAAAAATCACAGGAGGGCGAATTATTTTGACTTCATCTCTACATACTATAGTGATATAGTACATTTTTAATGCTGTGTAATGTTAGGTTTCTTTCACCAAAATATTTATATTTCAGTTTATTTTTTATTCTCTTTTATTTTATTCACTCGTTTAGGATTCTCATGAACTTTTTCCATACACAAAAACGAAAAGCACAAAAAAAGAATTATATCAGGACTAAAAATCTAAACTATAAATGGTTCGAAGCACAAGCTTACAATCCTTTAAGTTTAAAGCACATGCAACCCCCTCAGCCTTTGGACCCTTTTCACAAGCCTGTTATGACACGTTTAACAGTCATCTGCATTTCAAATCCTTTAAGTTTTGAATATTTAGATTTTTTTTAAAAACGTATGAACATTTATAAGCATTTATGTATGCATTAAATCATCTTTGCTTCAAATGACAAAAAATGAAATTACTAAAATGCAAGATGTTTCTAATGCAGCGTCTATGGGGCTGAGATAAATTTGACATTATTATCTCCTCTGGTTGCCGTCAGTATCACACTATTTTTTTCCTCTTTCACAACATCTTTATAACATCACTGTGGAGTTTTTCTTTTATTGTTAAAGCAAATAAGATTGTAAAAAAATTGCTTATTGTAAAAAAATTGTTTGTTTGTTGTATAATTGTAAGTGTACCCAACTATGACGACTTTCGCAACTGAAAAAAAACAGAATTGTGAAAAGGGTCTACTCACTTTAATATATTTTCCCTTTTCTTTCTCTCTTTTAAATTTTTCTTTTCTTATTATCATTATTTATTTTACTTAATTCACCATGCTGTCAACCTCAACTTTCAGTACTGACCTGTGTGTATGCTTCGTTTGTGTAAACTAATGCACATTATATATTGTTTATGCACATCCTACAGTGCTCAGCGTTACTGATTACATCCCATTTTGAAACTGAATATTTGTATCTATTTCTCAGGAAATATAGGCGATGTATTTTGGTGCATTTAAACAAAACCGATATATATATATATATATATATATATATATATATATATATATATATATATATATATATATATATATATATATATATATATATATATATATATTTTTTTTTTTTTTTTTTAGTTAAACTGTCAAAAAAAATTTTATAAATAAATTTGTAAAATGGTTTGAATGCAAATACTTTTTATTTTAATTAGCAGCAAAATAAATAGTATAATAATTTCATTCACATATAAGTACATTAACTGAAACAGACATCATCTATGTTTTTTTTATGGTGGCAGTGGAATATAAAGATAAAAATTTCACCAAAATGTCTAATTATTAAAACAACTGAATTTGCATTATAGAATAAATCTAATTGCAAATGAAAGTAATTACATTTTATAGCCACTTAGAATTTTTTTTCTACATTGATGGTTAAATGAGTTATCTAAACCATTTTAATAATTAAAATATAAAAAATACAAATATTTTTACTTATTTTTATACATATTTTAATAAGCACATGTAAGAATAAGCATGTTCTTGCATTTTACATACATCTGTTAGGCTGAATGTCAGTGAAACATTGTTTCATCAGTATTTTCATATTTTATTTTCACGAAGGTTATTTGAATTATTAAATGCTTTACTTGCATTTAATTCGCTTTTAAGTATACTGTAAAAGATGCTGGGTTATACACAATTCCTTCATGTTGTCGCAACACAAATCGATTAAGTTAACTTAACAAATTTAAGTGGATTGAAAATAAAACAATTAAGTTGTGCCAAAAAAACGTCAAGAAGGATGTTGATTCAGCTCATTTCAGATAAGTAGTTTGAACAAGCAGCAACTTTATTTTTTGAGTGTATAAAAAAAAAGCTGATTTGTAAATTTAAAACATAAAAATAAAGGTGGAGTATTGTGTGAGAACAGAATATATTACATAATTCATTCACCTACTCAAAAACAGCAAGAACTATTTATGGTGTTGTGTATACGTGTGCATGAATTGTGGTTGTGTGTTTCCTTACGGTGAGGTAGTGTTGAGCCGTCCAACTGCTTTACAGTCATAAAAGGTGATATTTGCATGTGAGATGGTCACGTCTCCGAACTTCAGTGCCATTCGAACAGAAACATGATCTAGAAATACACAGATTCATGTAAAATATCAGGCAAGCAAATGTCCGATAGCAATTACAATCTCCTCTGTTTTGACCTAGATTTTCCACCTTGAAATGTGAGCACTCGATATTCAATATTTAACATGGGCTTAACCATCCCTGTACAGTAAATACCACAGATCTGGAGTATGATCTAGAGCGATCCACGGTTCATTGTCAGGATCTCTGCTGTTTGCCTAGAAGCTTTAATATTGAGTCCCGGCAGACTGACATTTTCTAGTTGTGCAGGAGATAAGCTAATACCCTTCGTCAAAATAATCCCTGTAACCCAGATTCAATGTCAGGAAAATCAACTGAATCATCTTTAAATGTCAGCAAATCCATGCTAATGCATATACTGTACACAAAATCCATGCAAATGTATTCACACAAAACCATCTCAATTCAGGGAAGTTAAGACATTTTATAAAATCCAGCTAAATCAATGTCATTTGTTATTTCTTTTTAAAATTGATTTAAATGTTGCATGAAATGTCGAGTTCACATCACCTCATACTTCAGTTTCTCATCAAATCTTCTGAACAATTAAGTGTGGTAAAGTACGGTACTTTACGGTACGTTTTGGTATGGGTCTCCTTTTGGTAGGTGTGTTGTACAACAGAAAGTTGCAGTCGACGTCATTCTCGCTTGAAGTTCACATATCATAATAGAAGCCCTTCTTAGTAAACAAATGCTTTATATATATAAATACTTGTGACTATACGTAAATTATTAACCTTTTTATGAACAGATTACAGCTGCGGATCAATGATAATACAAAATAGCCTACTGTAACATCTGCGATTATATATAAAAATAAATAAATAAAATATATACATATCCTTAAATTCTCTGAAATGTTACCAATTACAAATAAAAAATACCCAAAACTTACATTTAGGCCTTATTTGGGTTCATAAACGATATGAAACATATACAGTCAGCACAAACCTCTCATCTTATTCTTCACCAACACATATAACGTTAACATCTTGTTAAAAACTAACAGTCAGAAAGGCCATGTGATGGTTAAACATGGCAGTTTGCTCATCTTTTAGGTTGCTGAAAGAATCATTTGCTCCTTTGTTTATTTTTTTCACACTTCACTCTCGCATTTGTTTGTTTCTGAAAGGATGTCAGAAGCCGTTCAATAATCATGCGCACATCATTATCATCAGCCCAGAATTTTCTTATTTAAAATAACGAGCGAGTGATCATGAACTGCTATAGACGGCCTTGTAAACAAAAACAGGACACACAGCAGATTCTGCTCTACTTCTTGGCTTTGTGGCTGTTCATCAAGATGACGACGAGGTTTGAGCTTGGGTCGACCATTGCTTGTTATTATATGTATATGATAGTACAATGTAATGTCTCGGCTGAGAATTTAAAAATGTCGGTTCATTTGTTTTCAATCTCCTGGCTTGCGCATGCGCTAATGACGTTTTTATGTAAACCAATAGCATTCAGCTGTGCATCTTGCTCCGCCTTTTGGTACCTTTTAGTTGTGCAAGGTACCTTTTGAAGGGGGTACCCAAAAAGTGGTATGGTACGGTTCGCTTTTTGGTACCATTTGAGTGGAAATGGTACCATACCCTATCACTCATTGGAAATGGGCCAAAATGCTCTCTAATATCTGACATACCCCGCCCCCTTCAAGACTCTTCTCATTTGCTTTTCATTTGATGCACTTGATCTCAACCACTCTCACTAGCAGAGCTGGTATAAAAATAAAACACTCTTGGCTGTTTTTTTTTTTCAAAGGGGGAGGAGCTACTCTATTGTGAATTGTGGCAGGGCCCTGCTACTGTAAAACATATTTACAGGTAAGTTACTGTAAAGGGGCAGTTGTTGTGTTGCAGTAAGTTACTGCAAAAATACAATAAAATGTAGAACTAATGTACAAAAGTGTACATTAGGACTACATTCACATATGTGCTGTGAACTGTTTGACCAGGCTGTGTTCTAAAGCTAATATTATTGTAAATAATGTTCATTTTCTTACACGGACTGGTCCTTAAAGGGTCACGAAACACCAAAACACATTTTTTGAGCTGTTGACAGTCGTATACGTGTCCCACACTGCTAAAAACACTATTAGGACACCTATATTTCACTAAAAAGTGTAAATTGGTTGTTTTTGCGTTATTTCAAGCAAATTTGTACTTCCTGTTTGAAACAAATTTTTGAAGCTGCGTCACGGTCATGACATAATAGCGTTGTATTCCAGCGTGCAGACTGGGCGTCTGTGCCTGAGTGAGTCTTATTACGTCTTACAGTGTGATGCATTAATGCATGAGTAAGGCTTGGTTCAAACCAATCAGCGCACTCTATTGTGCAACTTCATTAATATTCATTATTGTCACCGTGTTTACACCACAAAGACGCCACGTTGTGTTGGCAAAACAAGCGTGAAGTGTTGCTTTTATAGTTTGCTGCTGTTAAGTTTCGTTTTCATTTTCACTCTGTGAGAGCTTATCTGGATCACGTGAGGATTAACAGTGTACGCGACGCGCGACAACAATAACTTACGTGTCTAAGGAGGATTATTGTTTACCTGAGAGCTGTTCTCATCTGCAAACGCTGAAATCTGGATTTGCTTGTAGTATTCTCTTCAAAAAAGACGCGGCTCTAGTTGCTGGTGATTGTTCTGTCTCTACAGATTTGGTAAGTGAGCGATCAGTGCTCTTTGTTTATTCAGTTTGTTCGTATTGAATTAAGTTAACTATTGCACTGAGTGCAGAAATGTTAGCACCGCATTTTGTGACCGGAATAACACGCGCTGCTTTCTGACACTACCTGCCGTGTGCATCTAAGTTTCCGGGAAATGCAGAATTTTTTTTTCTCTCATTCACCGTGCGGTATCAAACATTGCATGTAAAATACACGCTTGCAGCAGTTCCTCGAATCAAATATCTCGTTTGTCGCGAGAGGCATGAATGAATTCCCTGAATGAAAGAGCCAAACTGCAGTTAAAGTCCAACATTTAATAATTTGGCAAATAATTCGACTACAGATGTCCATGTAGGTTAAACACCATCACTTTCTCCTGTCTGTGTGGGTGTGTATTTTGACTCTGAAACTCGCGCGTGCACAAATAGACACTTCCACACCATCCCACTTTAGTTCCTCCGACACTCCCCCCTAAACAGAGCTGGACACGCCCACTTTTCTGACTTTTTCCAAAGTAGAGGTGTGAAAACACCCTGCTGAAACGAGGGGGTTTCATGGCCCTTTAAGCTTCACAAGACCTCAGTGAGTGAACAGGAGCCACGGCTATTGATTAGGACCGAGGACCACCAATTTAGCTCAAAATCTATGGTTGGGTAAATTAACAGGACATTTTCATTTTTGGGTGAACATGGTAACCAGTTTCAGTTAGAACTGCAAGATTAATCCTTAAAGATTGCGTTTTTAATCTAAATACCCAAGAGATCTTAAATCTTAAAGATTGTGATTTGCAATATGTATATTAAACCTTTGACGATCACAGCTGTGACATTTAAATCTGCTTCTGACGCAGAGACATTTGATCTAGTTTTGAAAGTTGATGTTACACCATGATAAACCTCTGTCCAAACATGTTGGAGTGTATTGCAGCCATCAAAATGAGTTTATATGTACAGAATACAATTTACTTTGTCAGTAAAAAAAAACCATTACAAACAGAAAACATACATTACTCTAAGAAACTTTCCTTGAATGTGCCAGTGCAGTCATGAAAGCATGTTTCACATGTACAGATCTCCCCCATTTATCCAGAATTCAAATATGCTAATTGAGAATTAAGCTATTTTAAATACTGACTGATGAAGATTTGCATATGTTCATTAAACACATGAGGTACATCTGAAGCCATGTATGGTTATGAAAGATAATGTGATTTATTATAGAATAAATCTTACTTGGCCAGTGAAAATATAGCCATTTTTTTAGCAATTAAATAAGGGTTATAGTGAATTAACAAGTTACAAATGCTAGATTTGATTACATTTAATAATAATAATAATAATAATAACAACAACAACAACAACAACAACAACAACAACAACAACAACAACAACAACAACAACAACAACAACAACAACAACAACAACAACAACAACAACAACAACAACAATAATAATAATAATAATAATAATAATAATAAAATATAGTTTTTCTGGACACTCAAAATACTTTACACAATGGGGGTATCTACTCATCCACCACCAGTGTGCAGCATCCAGCTGGATGATGTGATGGCAGCCATATTGCGCCAGACCACACACCAGCTAATTGGTGAAAATGAGACAGAGTGATGAAGCCAATTATTACATGGGGATGGTTTGGAAGCCATGATGGACAGAGGCCAGTCCAGCCCAGGATGTTGGGGTTAAACCCCCACTCTTTTATGAAGGACATCCTGGGATTTTTAATGATCACAGAGAGTCAGGACCTTGGTTTAACGTTTCATTTGAAAGGCGGCACTTACTGAGCAGTATAGAGGCCCTATTAATATACTGGGTCATTACGACCCACACAGACCACAGGTAGAGCGCCCCCTGCTGTTGCACTAACACCATTCCAGGAGCAATTTAGCTTTCTTAGTGAGCCCCCATCCAGATACTGACCATGTTGCAAACCTGTAACCATTGACTTCCATAATATTTGTTTTTCCTACTATGGAAGTCAATGGTTACTGGTTTTCAATATTCTTCAAAACATATTATTTTGTTAAGAATTATTTCTTTTTTTAAACATAAAAAAGGAAACTCAATTTAAACCAATTGAGTATGAGTATACAGTGAGCACATTTTTGGGGTGAACTATGCCTTTAATTATAGCTTGAAAGTCATTCAACTAAATGGCGTTAATGCATCAAGATGTTAATTATAAAAAAGGCAAGATTTTAAAAGCATAATGGCTGGTTTCAGACAACAATAGGAGAAGCACAGATTAAGAAAGCATCACCTATATACTATATAACCGCAGGTTAACTATGTTAATATATACTAACTTTAACTGTTAAAAGCTATTAGCAAAGAGAATACACAAGTCGTATTACTCGTATAGTTTTGAATGGGGAAAGTTTAACAGTCAATATGTCAAATGAAGCTCCGTCTAATAGTACAGGAGTCAATCATTGATCGCTTTAGACTGACGTTTCTCCGAGGGAGAAGCTCGGACCAGACGTGTGATTTTACGACAACGTTGGTGGTCAACAATACGCACTGTAATCTCAGCGAATACTTGCTTCACAGACAGACTTTTAAATGAACTAAATACACCTGAACTACACCTGAAAACATAAGGTTTTTGGTTTTGTAAACTGTATAAAACAAACAAAGTACACGCATCCTGTCAAACACACATCACATGACACGGTGCTCCCCATAGCAAGTCTGCCCTGATTGCATTAAAGGAGGCATGTTTGTGGCATCTTGAATGAGATTACTTTTCATTATTTTATATTTGCAAAATGTAAGTTTTTATTTGCATTATAGTCTTTGTAATGTCACTTTTATTATTATTATTATTAGTAGTAGTAGTAGTAAATTTTTTTATAATGTGCTAACACGGCTTTTATGCGAACATGTTTTTTTTTTTTTGTAGATAGGAAATTGCAAAAGTTCAAAAATTGCCAAAAATGTGATTGACTTGAAAGTGACTTGCTAAACCAAGCTATGACTTGATTTGAAATAAGCAGTGACTTGACCTGAGTCTGGCAAAAATTGACTTAAAGGTTATGATTTGAGACTTGCACATGTGTGACTACTCCCACCTCTGGAAGCAACTACTCAAACACTCACAAACATGTAAACAATGAGTCGTTGTCATTACTGAAAGAGATTTGCCATCAAGACCAAGTTGTGAATTACTTCTGAAGACCAGCACAACCTGACGTTGATAATGTGTGATATGTGTAGAATGGCCATAAATGAAGTTGGTGCCGTGATCTTGTTCCTTTCCAGAGAGCATGAGCATTAGCTCAGGCAACCTGAAAATATGTTGATTTTAGTTGGATTGAACGTTTAGAAATGAATCTTATGAGACAGATCTTGTTTAATTTTATTGGTGATTCCAAATTTGTAATGTAATCGTAAACTTTGCAAACAATTGTGGAGAATTTGATGTTTTCCATTCAGACAGAATGCCCGAGAGGCCTTTCAAAGATGGTTACAGAGAGAAATGACTTGCCTTAAAGGGACTTAGCTATTAGTTACTAGTTAATTAGGTAAAGCTATTAGTAACTAATAAAGTTATGGAAACTAATAACCGTAATTTTTCTGATTTTGATTGTAATGCAATAATGTGCACCATTTTGTACTTTGAAACAAATTATTCTGAAAAGCGCTATACAAATAAACCTGAATGGAAATGGTTTGGCTTTCAGTCTCTCGGCTCAACAGTTGGTTGCTGGGATTGAAGCGTGTTGGCAGTGTGATGGAGTCAGCGTGGCTCACCGTTGCCTGGCGGACTCGGCGGGAGCAGCTCCGGCGCCGGTGATTGACATGTGATTCTGTTCTCCAAGACAACCGCAGGCTGAGCAGCCAAACTCCCAAAAGCACAGGATAGAGACTCATCCTTTGACAAGACTGGCAACTGTAGAACTGTGAAAGAGACCTTGAAAGCAAAGAAGAAGAAGAAAAAAACAGATCAGACATTTTAAGACGGTGCAAGGCCACGGTTGGTCTTGTGAATACTAATAGGAGATATTGTCGATACTTTTGTTTTGGATGCTGGTGGGGGGTTTTGTGCTCGGCTTGTTAAAACCAAGGTTTTGGGGTATGTGTAATAGTCTGTGGGTATTGCATAAGATGTGATCTGGTGGAGTCTGTCTGTGGTGTAGCAAAAACCTACAATTCTTGACCTGTTATAAGAATGTGTGTTGTGCAACTGAAGACCTCGAGCACAGAATGCTGTCTTTAATTGACACATCTACTGTTGAAGACAGACTTTGGTATCTTGAAAAAACATTAATCTTTTGTATGTATGACAGAAATGAAAATAGTTTTCTGCAAAAACAAAGTAGAATCAAAGTAAACGCAAGCAAGAGTGCATTTGATTCAACAATCACTTTAATATGTCAATAAATTCAAAGAGAACAAAAGATAGCAGAAGCTAAAGAATTTTAAAATTTGAGTTGAATATGAATCACATTGAAGAGATTTAGTCTAAATCAGGTACGACTTTGCAGACACCTTTATGATCCGTCCATGTGTGATCATAGGGATAACCAAATGACTAATAATTTGTTTTTGTAGAAAAGTTTGGAAAAACTTGAGGGATAAGTTGGTTAAAACCAAAAAGAGAGGTCATGGCAAAAGTGGAGTGGTTTTAATACACAATCACAGAAATGTTTTGTCATTCATAGGTTTTAAATTGATGTATACATTTCAATTTTGAATTTAAAACAATTTAAAGAGCCCCTATTATGCATTAAAAAGGTCATATTTTGGTTTTGGGGATCTCCAACAACAGTCAGATATGCATGCAAGGTCAAAAAACACTTTCATTGTCTAGTAATATGCATTTATTTTTAACTAATAATCCCAGCAACTCCCATATGATTCGTTCAGCGATTAATTTGTTCCCAAAACCCCTCCTTAGCGTGATGCTAATCTGAGCACTGAGCAGTATAGAGTCACCTTCACTACACTGGGGCATTAGGACACACACAGACCACAGATTGGGTGCCCCCTGCTGGTCTAACTAACACCACTTCCAGCAATAAACTAGCTGTGGCTATGGCTCATGCTTCTTGACAGTCAAGATGATTTACGGCTAGTCGTATCAGAAATCCGACCACAGATTAGCATGTTGTCCTCGCAGAAAACGGCTCAGCCATCACACTTAACCAGGTAAGGTATTTATGCTTCAATGTAATTGATTCTACACACTTTAAATGCAGCAAGTAATATGTGAATGATGTTTGCGCATGCATTATAATTTTAGCTCGAGGGAGGGGTGCCTGGGGGGGGGGGGGGGTGGGGGCGCGATGAAATTGAACAAACTTGGGGGGTGTGTGTCCTAAAAGTTTGAAAAACCCCTAATCTAGAGTAGGAAATTGACAAAATATGGCTCATTGCACTTACAGGCCAGAATTAAGTCTCACAGCTTTATCAGCCTTATGACATAACACCTTATTAGGCACTGTGTTGCATGTCGGTCAGGGAGTCACTTCCTGTCTAAGTGTGCAGTTCTTGGCTAAAATAAGCTGTAATGAGGAGCCTACAGACTGTAATGTGGCAGCGGCGTGTGGGAGGTGATCTGGGAACAGGGTTTTTATACCTGCGTTTGCTCTTCTCTGCTCTGGATGGCGGGTTCTAGACTCTGGATGGACACACACTGGCGCTCGTGGCTGTAGCTCCAGATCCAGTGATGAGGCTGAGCGTGTCGTGCGCAATCCATTTTCCGCGTGCATCTGACACACAAAAACACACGAGATGAGATAAGAGGCTGCTGAAATTTGCAGAGATTTTGAGATATCTTATAAAAGTAAACGTTTCAACATTAGGGCATGCAAACAAAGTGTAAGATTTTGAAAAAAAGGTGGATGGTGATTTAGGATGTCAAACTCAAACACTTTTAAAATACCATGGAATTAGTCCATTGCATGAGCAAGCAAGAAACTTAAAAACTCCAGGAGAAGAGGATGATTATTGGTGACTAAATTAAATATTGGCCGGTTTATAAACATAAACGTATTGCTAACGCTTTAGAGCAGGGGTCACCAATCTCGTTCCTGGAGGTCCAGTGTCCTGCAGAGTTTAGCTTCAACTTGCCTCAAAACACCTGCCTGGGTGTTTCAAGTATACCTAGTAAGACATTGATTAGCTTGCTCAGGTGTGTTTGATTAGGGTTGGAGCTAAAATCTGCAGAACACCGGACCTCCAGGAACACGTTTGGTGCTCCCTGCTTTAGAATAATAATCCATTAATAAATTTATTTACTAACTCTAACTAAGTATGAATAATCTTATAAAACATTTATTAATCATAGTCAAAATTTAGTAATGCACTATTTTAATCCAAAGTTGTGCTTGCTGCCATTAGTTAATGCACTGTGAGCAGGGCCGGCGCGTCCATTGAGGCGTCCTAGGCGGCCGCCTAGGGCGGCAGTATAGAGAGGGCGGCGTCCGCGATACCTCCCTTACCACCCGCATCCTCAGTTATGTCCGCGACACCTCCCTCACGACCCGCGTCCTCAGATATATTCGCGCATAGATGACAGAATAGAGGGCGGCGTGAGTGACACCTCCATCAGCACCCGCGTGTCCTCAGTTATATCCGCGCATAGGGCGGCAGAAAAGAGGTCCGCGACACCTCACTTCATTTTCATAACCAGTCACTTTCGTTTTCACATTGGGGTTGAGGGCTCCGGCCCTGACTGTGAGTTAACATGAACTTTATTTACTTTAACGTTATTAAACTTAAAAAAAATTTCTTTACTAATATTAAAAAAAGATGAATGATTACCAAAATAAATGTATTACTAACTGTTTCTTCATGTTATTAAATACCATTATTTTAAATAGTTACCAACGTAATATATTATAAACAGGGCTTGACATTAACTTTTCTGATCACCAGCCATTGTGGCTAGTAGTTTTCCAACATTACTAGCCACTCTGCATTTTCACTAGCCACAATTTTATTGCTGGGAAAATATATTTTATACGCATAAATATGACTTTGATATGCTAAAATTACTTGATTTAGATTTTGTGTTATCTCCACATGCCTCCTCATTCATTTTACTTTTTGTGTGTCGTGTAGCAAACGGGTCATGCTTTCATAGTATAACAATTAGTTTGTATTTCACATGACTTTTCAGAACTCAAAATAAAGGGTTTACCAAATTTATCTCTGTCCACACCAAACATTCATTCATTCATTTTCTTGTCAGCTTAGTCCCTTTATTAATCCAGGGTCGCCACAGCGGAATGAACCACCAACTTCTCCAGCAAGTTTTTACTCAGCGGATGCCCTTCCAGCCGCAACCCATCTCTGGGAAACATACACACACACACACACACACACACACACACACACACACACACACACACACACACACACACACACACACACACACACACACACACACACACACACACACACACACACACACACACACACACACACACACACACACACACACACACACACACACTACGGACAATTTAGCCTACCCAATTCACCTGTACCACATGTCTTTGGACTGTGGGGGAAACCGGAGCACCCAGAGGAAACCCATGCGAACGCAGGGTGAACATGCAAACTCCACACAGAAACGCCAAGTGAGCCGAGGTTTGAACCAGCGACCTTCTTGCTGTGAGGCGACAGCACTACTTACTGCGCCACTGCCTCCCTCACACCAAACATAAACAACTAATTATTTCTAAGCCACAATTTTTAAATGTGTCAAAACAAGCAAAATAAAGCTGTATACTATACTATACTTTTTATTTAACAAAACATGTGCACAGTAATGTCAAGTTTGATGTTAGTACGGTTTTATTTCAAGTCAGAAGTCCTTAAGAATGCATGAATTTCAAAACAGTTGCAATGTAAACAATGCTTTATTTTTATTACTCATTTGTGTTCTCATTAGTTTTTTATGATTCTTTGATGAATAAAAGCTTCAAAAGAAAAACATATTTGGGTTATTATTTTTATTATTATTTATTATTATTATTAAGTTATTAACTGTTTATTAGCACTTATAGGTATGATCTCATTTTACATCCCTAATCCTACCCAGGACCTGTTAATACCTATTAATAAGCAGCTGATTAGTTGTTTAATAAGCTCAAAGTCTAAAGAGTTAAGAGTTTGTTAATGGTTTGTTAATAGTGCCAAATCCGCTGCGTAAAACATAGGCTGGAATAGTTGGTGGTTCATTCCGCTGTAGCGACCCCTGATAAATGAGGAACAGAGGAAAATGAATTAACGATAATAGTGTGAAATTTCTATTAAAATAAAGCGACACATATTTGAAACAGAAGTGTTTTGTTACATTACTGTGACTTTTGATCCCTATTAAAAGGATATAAACAGATACTGACATAAAATTTAACAAATAGTGTAGCATCAAACCTAAAAATGATCCCTAGAAAAAAGTCCCAGTACTACACGAACATCCCACAATAGTTGAAGCGGTAGTGCAACTGCAGTAGAAGCAGAAGTCGTTGAAAAAAACAATTCTGAATCATTTCCATAGATCTTTGTATGATTAAATGAGATGTTTATGTAAAGCGAGAGGTGTGGCCTGATGGGAAGTGTGTGTTGAAAGAGCAGGCGGTAGTGTGTGTGTGCATGTGTGTGTGTAACAGCAGACAGGTGAGCTCCAGTACCTGCCCTCCAGCGAACACCAGCCGCAGTAGGGATCTCTATTTGACAGGCAGGAGTGGCAGTCTAAATGCTTCTCACACTGAGCCACATGGAGCTTCGTAACCTGAAACACACAGAGACACAAATCACAGGCCCTAAGCACTGTTCACAAATTGCAAACCGATAAAATATAACAGAATGCAACTTTTGCATACGCGAACAGTGTGATTCTGATTGGCTGCCGAGACAAAATCACCAGCAATTATTCAACAATGGAGCAATTCCAGAGTTATAGATGTGACATTTGCAGTAAAAACTCAAAACATCAACGCACATAGAAAGTATATGTTACATTTCTTTATATTTTAACAATCAACTAACCACAGAGTAATAACATCAGAAAGATATCAATCTGTAAACATTTTTTATATATTTTAAATGAGGAAAATAAACATGCGTTATGGATGCGACCAAGAAAATCTGCGAGTTTACAGTATACAGTAAACTGTGTAAAAACTCTGTGAATTAAACTGCACAACCCAAATAAAATAATACAAATCAAACAGATAAGCAGGCCCATAGCTAGCCTGGTAAAAGAAGTGGTTCTTTCTTTTTCTCAAAAAGCAGTCGTTTTTGCAGTCATTCGACTCATTTCTATATAAATATGATTTTTTTTTTGTTGTTGTTGGATTACACAGCGAAATCCTCTCGAGTAAAATTTACTCAGTTCAGAGGGTATTTGGTCACTCTTTAAATAAAGGCAAACAGGTTGGTAACAAGTTAAGCTGCTGTGGAGTTGCTTAATGATCCTTTGCTGAGATTTTGAGAGATTCAATGTTTTATATTTCAGCTGATTTCATCTAAGGATGTGACTGACGTCAGCTGTAGTTTTAGGTTTCTCTTCTGTGTTTCTGTAATAACAGCAGGTGTTCATCATCAGTGCTCAATCATCACCGAACTAATCCTTTCATTGCCTCATTAACATGAATAACTAGTACTCAGTTTAGAGAGGGACCAAATACTATCGAAACTGAGTACATTTTACTTAGAGGATCACACTTTTTGATGTACCAAAAACATTTTCTAAACACTTAGAATAAAGAAATATGAAAAAATAGGCTAATTATATTTAAAATACTAATTAATTTCAACATATATAACTAGGGGGGAAATAGGATTCTGTTAAAGTTTTAAAGTAAAAACTGTGACTTTTGTCAGTTATTAGACAAATAACAAACTGGCCAGCACATTCAACTTTCCCCAGTCAGAATTTGTGCATTATGATAAAAAATTATGTTAATAATAATAATGATGATGATAAAGATAATAATGATAATAACGTAGAGCTTCACAATTTTCAAGCCTCTCTTGCAAAAAAGTACATTTGATAATTCATAGATAACAAGAATAGCCAGATAATTATTATAAGTGACAATAATATGGGCGGCCTTTGGTGCTTCACAATACAACACAACACAACTTTATTATTCTCTCAAGAGTAAGGTCCAAGATTTAGAATAAATTTTACTTGTAAAATGTTCTTTATTTAACACCAATACAGTGAAAGTTGACTTCACTTGCATGTCTTACTTTATGTCTTAAAGCCTTTTTCGATGGGTTATTTTGATAATTTATGATGGCATAATGCTGTGTTCACACCAGACGCGGAACGCGAGGATAAATCGCGCTATTCGCGCGTAAATAGCCGCGTGAACATTTGAGTATACTCGCTTCATTCGCGCGTCAAACCCCGCTTCATTCCCGTGTCAAATTCACTTCAGAACAGACGCGGATTCGCGTGATGGGCAGGGCTGTCTGCCCGAAGACTCTAGCTTCATAGCTAAATGGCTAACATGGATTTTATGAAGAAAATAACAGTGTTTATGTGCTTTATGAAGACTGAAAAACAGCGTCGATACGTTTAGGGTCGTGTCTGACTCCACTACATCCTTTCAGAGGTGCATCCAGCTCTGTGAGCTCATAAACTCCTCCAGAAACTTAACCTGGATGACGGAGGCTTTCAGCGGTGCTTCTGACTGAGCCAAGCCAAGTATGATGAACTGTTGTCGGTGAAGGCTGAAGGATTTCCCTCGGAACACCAACAACAGGTTCTATGTCACAATCACGCCCCCTCAAGAGCAAGCTTCTGATTGGTTAACACGGCGCGAATGTATTCTGAAGTTCAGATTTTCGAACTCGAGAGAACGCTCGTTAAGCACGTCAAACGCGCAAAACGCCCAATTCGCCTCGCGCCATTCGCGCAATTTGCGTATTGCGCCGCAGGATGTCTATTTGTGCGTTTGCATTGACTTAACATGAAAATCACTTGCGCTTGACGCGCGTTCCGCGTCTGGTGTGAACGCAGCATAACAGTCAAAATAGGACAAATGAGCAAATGTATTTGGCCAAAGGAGAAATGGTTGTGCCCAACTGAGCCTGGTTTTTCTCTCAAGTTTTTTTTCTCCTTCACTTTTATCAATTGGTGAAGAATAATTGTAAATACAGATAATATAGATAATATACCATATATATTTTTTACTTCACTTTCATCAATTGGTTAAGTTTATTCCTCGCCACTGTCACCACTGGCTTGCTTGGTTTTGGGAAAAAATTGATTTATTTTATATTATTATACATTTTTGCATTTATGAGGGAAACACTGGGTTATGGATGTGACATCTCTCTATTATGGATGTGACAGATAAGACTTGGTAAAAAACTTTGAAAGGCCTGCGCTTTATTGGTTGACGTTTGCTCAATGCAAAAAACAAAACGAAACCAGACTTTCATCTGAAGAAATCTGTCATTCGAAGGATGTTTGTTAAAGCAAACGTGTAATCTCCCCTTTGAGAGTGTGAATGTAACAGATGCTGTTTGTTTCACTTGACGCCAGATAAAAGGAAGCAGTTTGTCTCCAGTACCTTTCTTTCAGTCAATACGAAGACGTTCTGTTTGGTGGCGTCCAGCAGTAGATCAGCGTTAATGGGACTCTCTGGATCCACCTCCACTGTGTCGTATTTTGTCCCAGTACCATTTGCATGCAGGAATACCTACATTCGAAATAAAAGCACATTAAATCAGAATATGTTCAGATGCAAAAAGTCCTGCCTGAAAGTCTCAGGGGATTGGAACAACATAGGGTGAGTAATAACAACTGAATTCTGATTTTGGGTGAACTATCCCTTTATCGCAATCAATTTAATCAGTACTGGGCATGAGATTCTGATGGTATGAAGGATACTTAGATAGAAATATCATGGTATTGTGATTACTGCTCTAAAACATGTTATTTTTAAATGTTTGGGTTAAAAACAACCCCTCCCCATCATTATGTATTTTATTTTAAGAAACATTTATGATTTTTCGGAACAGTAAATGTGTCAGGTTAAATAATTGAAATGAATCATTGACTTTTGCTGTCTTCATTAGTTTTAAAAACAAAGATTTCTTTATCTTGAAAAGGCATCTTTGGATATCTTTTATTTCTCTGGATATAAATTAAGACACCACACTGGTCCATAGTTGATCTATAGGATGATAAAGGTGCAGTATGCAAGTTTGACACCCAGTGGTTGAACTAGGTATTTCACTCCTGGTTCAAAACACATGCAAGCACAGGTTGCCAGATTGATGACATACACAGGAGTGTGCCTGACTATTGGGCCTAAAGGCTGACTTAAATTGTGTTCTAAATAAAAGCAATGGCACGCGATAGAAGGAAAATTTTACATAATAAATGGAGTTTTTTGTTCAAACCAACACCTCAAATTTATATTATAGAAATGTTTTCTATTTCTTGCAGCTGAACAACAGAAAACTGACAATGATCACCTCAGGTACACCTCATGTGCTTTATTCAGTGTTAAATGCTATTAATGTGAGTTTGAATGCCATTTCACGTGACATGTATTCCCATTCTACTGAAAGCAGCAGTAAAAATAAAATAAACCGTTTAAAATTGAACTTCAGGACTGTGACTCAGTGCAAACCAACACATATCAGTGATTCAGCATCTACATTTAATCATGTTAAAGAGGTTTAATATGTATTAGTTAGATAATAAACCTGACCATTTCGATGGGGTGCAGTGAGTGCACTATTCTGTGCTTCTGAATGGCAATATTTAAATTTCTGACGTCTTTTGTCTGGTGCAAACAGCCAAATTACTTATCACTGTGTATCTTGTCACATAGTGTGTTGTTAGGAAACAGGTTTGCAAAACAACCTGCTCACCTAATGTTTACGTTCATAATATGTATATTATTTGCTAATTAACAACCACCTCACGTGGAACTCTGAATCTGCGTCTCATTTCAGAGTCTGCTACTGTCCCCCGGAGGTTGCATTTCGGTCACAGTTTGAGAGCCTTCCTCACTAAATGAATCAAATACACCGTTTTCCACAAAGGCAACCCGTGGTGCTGAAACATAATTGGCTAAACTAGCATTGGTCGGGTTAAAAGAACCAAAACAAAGACAGACGTTCCAGCACATAACGCACATTTTCAAAGCAGAATATCTGACTTCAGCATTGTTTTTCAGATAAATGTTCACTTAGCATGTTTCTTAAATGTCTGCAAACATATTATGGTATTTTTATGCTTTAGAAGACTCAAAAACTTACATTCAGCACAATCAATGTGAAAGCGATTTTGTTTTTCAAAGGTATTCTGAATTGTAGGTTGACCAATAGCTTTTAATTTGGATGGTCTTTTTCTGATGTAGATACTGTTTCCCTAAAAAACTAAATAAAATAGTCGTAAACAACACTTAAAAAAAAATAAACACTTACTATCACTCTAGCCATGGGACGATAACAGTTCTTAAGGTATACCGCGGTTTAAAAGAAGTCAAAAGGTGCGTCACAAATCGCATACTTATGCACTATTTTACGCCATTTTGTAGTATAAATAGTGTGAGTAGTGCAATCAAACTGAAAACTCTGAAAATAATAAGTGCACTTTAATTACCCGGATGGTGCACTCCTTCAGCTGGTAAAATGAAGTATGGAAGTATCGACCGTCGCTGCTCATGTAGTGGAAGGGGCGGAGCTTTCAGGTGCACATGTTGCATAACTAGATTTATTTTGGATTTGTAAAAGCAAAATTCTCAGAGAGTGATTATAGCGCCACCCAGTGGTGAATGCAGTTATACTCATGGCAGGAATTATTTGGTACTTTGGTCATTTATTTAACTAATTTGGCAACCGGCAAACGTCACCAGGAAAACAGTTTGAATTTCAACATATTAAAAAACCTTTAGTGTTCCATTTGGGTTGACACTACATGCATATACTATGCTGTTGAGTGTGTAAGTGCACAAGTACATAGTGCAAGAGTGCATAGTGTGCCATTTGGGATGCAGCTGTTGTTTTAAAACCGCCAAAATTGTCTGTAATATTGTTCCTAAGGTATGAGTAAGATTTCTTTATTTTACTTTTTTTTCAGTACAACAGTACCTCCAGCAGAGAAAGATATCCAAAGATTCATTCATTCATTTATTTTCTTGTCCCTTTATTAATCTGGGGTCGCCACAGCGGAATGAACCGCCAACTTATCCAGCAAGTTTTTACGCAGCGGATGCCCTTCCAGCCGCAACCCATCTCTGGGAAACATCCACACATACACACACACACTCATACACTACGGACAATTTACCCTACCCAATTCCCCTGTACCGCATGTCTTTGGACTGTGGGGGAAACCGGAGTACCCGGAGGAAACCCACACGAATGCAGGGAGAAGATGCAAACTCCACACAGAAACATCAACTGAGCCGAGGATCGAACCAGCGACCTTCTTGCTGTAGGGCGAACGTGCTACCCACTGCGTCGCCGATATCCAAAGATGCCGTCTTAAATTGTTAAGAAATCTGTTTTTGAAACTAATGAAGACAGCAGAAGTCAATGATTAATTTTCATTATTTAAAGTAGTCTGACGTGTTTACTGTTTCAAAATATTTTTAAATCTTTAAAAAATAAAATATATTGTGTTTAAAGGGATGTTTTTAGTCAAACATTTAAAAATAACTTATTTTAGAGCAGTAATCACAATACCGTGATACTGTGAAACTATGATATTTTTGTCCATGGTTATCATACAGTCAGAACCTTATACCCATGCCTTTACATTACAAACCATTGTAAATCGGTTATCATCTCATGCCTAGAGTGTAGCACAAACACTGCAGGGTGAATTAAGTGCTGTGGTTCATTCGGAAGTATGAACAAAAGCTTGAATTGCTAATCAAAGCGTATGCATAAACTTGCATTAAAAAAAGAGGCACAGAAAGCTCAGGCGAGTTGCATTCTCAGCAGGCCGGTGTGTTTTCCAGCATCTCGCATGCAGGAGAAGTGATACCGTGGGCTGTCTGTGATAAGTTCAGCCTGAGGAAAAATTTGGGCGGTAAACAAGCTGCTGTTTCAGAGTTTGGCCATTAATATTTCATCCAGCACCGGAGGGGATTGAGGGATGAAAAACTCCAAGCGCGGCTGCAGCCACCCCTATCAGCCGACCCAGAGCGCGCCGCATGTGACCCAATCCCCTGAGAACGCTTCTCCCCACGGCACTTACAATACGCATTCAGAACAAGTCCTCTCATGCTGATGAGAGAACAAACAAACACACACACACATACATCACACACAGTTACAGTCAGACAATCACACAGTCACACACATACGTACACACAAACACAGTCAGATATACGCACAGTCACATACAGACCGACCGACAGACAGACAAACAGGCAGACAGACATATGTGCACACACACACACACACAGACACACACACACACACACACACACACACACACACAGACACACAGACACACAGACACACAGACACACAGACACACAGACACACAGACACACAGACACACAGACACACAGACACACAGACACACAGACACACAGACACACGCTTACAGACAAACACACACACACACACACAGAGACAAATACAAGCAGACACAAACATTCACACACAGTCGCATACAGTACACACAGACAGAGACATACACACACACACACACACACCTCCACATCACACTTCCAGGCCAGACTGGGCCAGCCACACATGAATACCAGAAATTCCCAAATAAAAAGCGGACAAAACCGATAGATCATGAGAGATTGTGGCCCCAAAACAGATTAGCAGAAAACTGAGGATGTTTCTGGAGCTGAATAAATGTTGTTGATTGACTTTAAAGAAACAGGTCATCCAAAACAGATCCATTCAATCGTATTGCACTTTATTCCATCATCTTAAAGGGAGAGTTACCCAGAAAGGGAAGAAAAGAAAGCCAACAAACACAATCGGTCAACATTTATTCATCTTATACTTGTACCAAATCGGTCTGAGTTTGTCTGTTGAACACAAAAGAAGTTACTTTTAAAGAAACCAGTAGCCATTGGCTGTTTTTCTTTCCTATTATCCTACTATAGATGGAAATGGCTAGCGGTTTCCAACTAAAAGAAAATCATAACGCTTAAGTTTTGCTACGGTTACGCTTTCGTCCACACTACCCCGGAGTTTTTGAGCCCCGAAAACGGACTGTTTAGAAACGTTGAGGAGGTTGTTTTCATTTTAATGCTGCTCCGTGTCAGTGTGGATGGGGGAAAACGGAGACGTGATTGGGGTTTTTCTCAATATTAAGTGCACAAAGTTCAGTCTTGCATCCTTTCTTTATAAGTTCAGACGTCGCAAGTATGATGTGGAAAACAAACTCCCGAGAAGGCGAGAACTCGGGTAAATCTTCAAAGGCAACAGTGTACTTTATAATGTCATTCACATCACCCTGGCTATCTTAACAATAAGAAAAATAATATAAGCAACTGCCTATTTACATTTTGATATTAACTTAACAGACACCAAAAATGCTGAGGCATTGTGTACCTACATATTTATATGACCGTCATCTTCACTGTATGTATATTTATAACAAAACGGAGCCTATAACACATAGATTCAAAAGACGGAAGAGTTGTTAGATAGAGACCAGATGAATTAAATATTACGTCTAAAATATTTATATATTAACAATTATAGTGAGATGAAATTCAGCTGGTTATCCTTGATGAACTGTCCATCGTGCGCTGATCTCACCTGGGGAGGTGTGCGTGTGCTTAAAGCAACCGCTGACTGCCCGGAGCTCAGACCTCTGCATATGCTGTAGCGCATGTCAGAGTGTGCATTTTGAGCGGTGTAGTGTGGATGGAGCTGTTCAGAAATGCTAGGTGAAATGCAAATATTGACAAGGATCATTTTCATTCTAAAACACTGTTTTAAAACTAAAACGCATTAGTGTAAACGGGACCTAAGTCAAAGGATAGTGAGTGAGTTTAAAAAATGATAAAAAAGGCACTTTAAATGTATACTAATTAATGCTAATTAATTACCACCATGTAAACAGTGATTTTTGATTAATTTAATCCGATTATGGTCATAATCAAGGACATGTGGAGTATACCGATTGTAGTCGTATTTTATAAATGCAGTGAAGACATGTAAACACCTTAATCGAACTATTACCTAGCACACACACGCACGCACACGCACACACACACACACACACACACACACACACAGACACATAGACACATGCTTACAGACAAACACATACACACACAGACAAATACAAGCAGACACACACATTCACACACAATCAAACCGTGTATTGTATTGCCCTCACCCCACCCCACCCCACCCCTAAACCCAATCATCACAGGAGACTGTGTGCAGCCTTACTCTCTGATTAAACTCATCCTGTGGGATTTATAAACATTTTGAGAAATGAAGACGTTACCAATGTCCTCATATTTAACCTCCTTTTCATCATACCCATGTCATACCCATATCATTCTACAGATTTGTGTCCTGATATGTCACAAAAACACGTACACACACACACACACACAAACACACACACACACACACACACACACACACACACACGGGGGGCATGTCCAAATGAAAGTGAAAGTGCCAAACTATAGTTAAAGTTGACAAATTAATAATGAAACACCCGAAATTACATGAAACTCCGGAGGAAATGCGGATAGCGCGGTAACGCAATGACGTTAATCGAATTATGTGCTATAACATGTAAAACGGGACCATGAAAGAAACATTCAAAAAGCAACTCATGTAAACAGCTTAATCTTATTGTTCTCTTACATTACTCTCTCATTACATTCTCTTATTACAATTCTATTGTGATGTTTTGAATGACAAAAGTAAAGGAAAGGAAAACGGAAACAAAACGGAAAACGAAACGATTCTCTTAATTAGATTAAGGCAAATAATTTGATTACTGATGTCCATGTAAACGTAGTGAATGTGAGGTGTTTACCAGCAAATATTAACTTTTCCAGAAAAGTTTGCAAGTTTTCTCCTGAGACGAACTTTAAATGAACTTTGTTTTAGCCTGATTTGGCTAGCAGTACCATCACAGCAGTTCATTCATGTGCACATCACTTGAATAAATCAGGGCCTTGAATCTGAGCTTCAATGGCATAGCAGAGCTTCCAGGAGGGATTTATTTTCTTCAATGCAAAATGACTCAATCTTTGCATTATACAGGCACCGTTGCTTTTGGGAGCTTATCGCACAGAAAAGATTAGCATAAAGTTTCAGCACAATTTCGTTTTTTGTTCTTTTGAATGACGAGTTTTGACTGTACTGTTCCTTTAAATCCTACCATGCAAAAAGGAGTCGATAATCATGTATTTCTTTTCACCTCGCATGACTCATGAATTAATTCTACCCTACTCCTCCTTAAAGATAACAAGAGATTCAAACCCTCCTGCACTCTCTTGTCCATGTGCCTTAAATAGCAGCTAAATTGTGACATATGATGTTTTTAGGCTTTGAAAGGTGTCACTGTCTCAATTCCAGTAGCCTTGAACCACTAGATACGATACAAGAATATCCAAATTGTGATGTATTTGTTCCAAAAACGATAAGCTAATGCAACTCCGGGAGCAAGGACAGGCTATTATACCTTCCTCAAACGTTGTGTGCTGATAAACAATGTAACCCCACACAAGCTGAACTCCAACTGAACCACCCAATTTTAATAACACAATATTACCATGCCATGGGGTGGCTTGCTCATTACTGGCAACTTAGCGCTTAATGACAGATTATGATTACTCCATGTGTTTGCTTTTCAATAAAGAAGTCTTTAATGATGGTAAACAGACTTTTAAATTCAGTTGTTCACGCTGCTTTTCCCCATTATGCTTCGGTGATGAATGGTGGGTGTTTAATGGTTAAGGATTTGTGCTGCTTACACAGAAATTGCAGGTTTGGTTGCACTAAAGTGTGATCTGGGATGAAAAATAGCTTGGCTGGTAATAGGTAACAGTGAGTCATACCTTGTGCAGCCTTCCGCTTTTGTCTCCTAGCAGGACTATGGTGTGGCCGACCTCGGTTGCCGTGGTGACAGCGGTGATGGGAGGAGTCCAGGTGAACGCGGGAGTGGCATGGAGAGGAATGGCGCTGGCGATTGGGCTGGGTGTGTGTTCGCCTCCACATGGGTACTCGGTCAGAGAGTCCTGCATGACAACACAAACAGATCATCACAAATACATCCTTTATTTTTAAAACAGAGAGAAAACATGTTCATTTTGCTAGTTAAAACAGGGAGTAAACCTGTTGTAGCTTGAAATTGTTCATTTGACAGTAACTTGATTACAAGTTATAAATTTATTAAGCAAATTTTTATAGTTATGCACATACACTCGCTGGCCACTTTATTAGGTACACCTGTCCAACTGCTTGTTAACACAAATTTCTAATCAGCCAATCACATGGCAGCAACTCAATGCATTTAAGCATGTAGACATGGTCAAGACGATCTGCTGCAGTTCAAATCAAGCATCAGAATGGGGAAGAAAGAAAATTTAAGTGACTTTGAATGTGGTTGTTGGTTCCAGACAGTAACTCTAATAAGCACTCGTTACAACCAAGTGGTGCTCGCTGCAGAGCCATTTGAGGAGAGGTGAGCTCCAGAGAGGGGGAGCTTAAGTTTGAGCTCCACCTTTTTTGCACTTCTTCTACGAGTGATGTCACTGGGGGTAGGGTTAGGGGTGGGGTTGGTGTTCGCATTAAAACAGCTTACAGGAGGAGGAGCGACAGCTCATGCTCCCCCTCTCTGGAGCTCACCTCTCCTCAAATGGCTCTGCAGCAAGCACCCTCTCGTTACAACCGAGGTATGCAGAAGAGCCTCTCTGAATGTACAACACGTCCAACCTTAAGGCGGATGGGCTACAGCAGCAGAAGAACACATTCAGATGGTAGAGTCAGAATTTGGCATCAACAACATATAAGCATGGATCCATCCTGCCTTGTATTAACACTACAGGCTGCTGATGTAAGGGTGTGTGGCATATTTTCTTGTCACACTTTGGGCCCATTAGTACTAATTGAGCATTGTGCCATTGCCACAGCCTACCTGAGTATTGTTGCTGACCATGTCCATCCCTTTATGGAAACAGTGTACTCAACTTCTGATGGATACTTCCAGCAGGACAACGCGCCATGTCAAAGCCCGAATCATCTCAGACTGGTTTTTTGAACATGACAATGAGTTTGCTGTACTCAAATGGCCTCCACAGTCACCAGATCACAATTCAATAGAGCACCTTTGGGATGTGATGGAACGGGAGAAATCCACAGCAACTGCGTGATGCTGTCATGTCAGTATGGACTAAAATCAATGAGAAATATTACCAGTACCTTTTTGAATCTATGCCATGAAGGATTAAGGCAGCTCTGAAGGCATAAGATACTATTAAGGCGTACCTAACAAAGTGGCCGGTGAGTCTAATTAGTGTGACAGTTCACCCAAAATATTTAATTACCTTATCATTAATTTTCCATCATGTGGAGAAGATTTAATCTGCATTTGGAAATTTCTTCCTTCTGTTAAACACAAAAGAAGATATTTTGAGTCAATGGGTTTCAGCTGCCAGCATTTTGTAAAATATATTTTTTTTGTGTTTAACAGATGAAAGTAACTTCTAAAGAGAGAATTAATCTCATATAAATCAAATAATAGTAAAATAAAACTCAAAATAGGTTTTGAACAAGTGAAGGGTAAGTAAATAGTGTCAGAATTTCCTTTTTTGGGTGAACTATCACTTTAAGAATATTAAGGCCACAAGTTTACTCACATTTTCTAAAAGTTAAAACCAGCTAATCACTTTGAAGCAATGGGTTTACTCACTTTTTTATGTAAAATGAACTAATCACTTTTCACATAGTTCGAAAAGTTCTGACAGGAATATTTGGGAATTCCACAGTTATTCCCTGTCTCTTGTCACATTTAAATCCAGCTGCAACCTCACAAGTTAAAGTTAAGATTTAACAGTGGTGCATGAAAACACTTTCAGTCCAGTTTTAGTACGGTTCTCTGTTTGCATTAGTGGAGAAATGCAGACTGTAACTGTCTTGAAAACCCATTCAGTTCTGGAATATTTATACATAGCAGTTCTGAAAAGATGCCATTCTCAATTCCCAACATATAAACTGATTATATGCTTCAGCTGACAACTTTATTCAGTGCACAGAGGACTCAATTTCAGCCTACCTTTATTGATGATGACAGTAGTGAGTGTTATTACAGCACATTAAAAGCACACCTCCACTCAAAATTGTGAACGCTTTGAAAAAAAATTGCAAACTAATATACTATTTTAATTTAATGAACAGTGAAGTGATGGAAAAGCTGCCAGCAAGTGGCCGTCATACACTACTTCTTCGATAATTGTAAACTGCATCAGTGGATGCACCTCATTAAGGGCAGCTATTATGCAAAAAAAATAGTTTTATTAGGGTTTAAACGCAGTTATGTGGCAGCAATGTGTAAATATTACCAGCTTCTAATAGTAAAAATGTATACATTTAATTTTTTTATAATCACACTTCATAAAAGCAGTCTGCAAGAACACTTTGATTGACATTGGCTGCGTCCGAAACCGCATACTTCCATACTATAAAGTACACTAAAATCAGTATGCGAGCCGAGTAGTATGTCCGAATTCATAGAATTCGAAAATCAGTATGCGAGAAGTACCCGGATGACTTACTACTTCCGGCGAGATTCTAGAATGCGCATCCCATGCATGCTGTGCTATCCCATGATGCCCCGCGAGCAAATTCATGAATGGGAGTAAAGCGACGCAATTGACGCAGGTAGGTCCCATGACAATGACAAAATGGTGGATGTAGTACGTCCAAATTCCATTCATACTTTTCACATTCATACTGTATAGAACATACTTTTCTAACGGCCGAGTAGTACGTTTAAATTCAAATGCAGTATCTACCGAGTAGTAGGCGGTTTCGGACGCAGCCCTACTGTCTTTGCACTAGTCAGAGAAGGAACGCCCCATCCATAAGTGATGATCTCTCCCTCATTAGATTAGGGCAATAGTCTTGTTTTTGAATCTGCCAATAGGCTGACACATATTATGCTCCGCCCTCTTTTGAAAAAGAGCACAATCTCATTTGAATTTAAAGCGACAGTCACATTAATGGCACCATTAGGATCAAAATAGGGTTGGGTCATAAGATGATGCCATGGACATCACAATGCTGAGCCGGCATTGCGATCCTCCACCCCGCACCCCGTTTTAGCAGCAACCCGCACGCGGATAATACACACTGCCCTCATACCCTCATACATCCTAGTTTTAAAATGCCATTTTAGAACAAAAATGATTTACGTCCACACTGGTGTTACATCTAGCATTTTTGAAAAGCCCTCCGTCCACACTGAAAACGCACATAACATAACCACACACATACACATACACACAAACACATAGTCTGTCATGCACTAAAGCTCATGATTGCGTCTGCACTCCAGCAGTCAGCAGGTGCTTAGAGCACAAAATCCCAGTGAGCAGTGCACGTCAAGGACGTACTGCTGGATCGCATCTCATTATAGTTGTTAAACGTGATATTTAATTAATCTCGTCTCTATCTAACGACTCTTCGGTCTTTTGAATCTATCAGGTAAACGTGTCACAGCATAAGTGAACTGCTTCAATCTTTCGCTTTCACGGTTGTACTTAATAATTTTAGTGAAAACCTCAGATACTGTTGGCTGTGCACCTTTTTTTACCAGTCGTAAGTTTGTCGACACAGATCACTCTGCCTATTCATGCCAAAATCCTTCGGAGAAAAGTGATTGACAGGTTGAAATTTGTTATGGTTTGGTTATGGGTAAAACAAAGACCATGCGTGTCAGGTAAACGGTAGGCTACAAATAATTAATTTGTTATGAATTAATGAATTATTCATAAATAATTAATTCACCGCTGCCTATGACAACGATGCCATCGTCCGTCGCAATGTTTCACATTAGACATCGTACAATGCCAAATTGGTCGACATCGCCCATCCCTAATTTAAATCCTAAAAGGGACAGTTTCAAAGAGTTATAAAGCATTATTTGTGTAGCTGTAACATCCCATACACACTCTAAGAAAATCAGAGACTTATTTTACATCTTAATACGTCCCCTTTGAATTGCATGAAAGAATTTCCAGACTGTCCAAGCTAGAATATGAAGATGCACAAATACAGCAGTTTTCATAGTTTTAACAACTTTACTTTAATACTAACATTTGACTTGTATTGGTAATTCACATGCAATGTCATGCAACACATTTGTAATATATGCAATTTGGCTACACTTGGAATTCAGTCAAAGGAAATATAAACAGTTTAGGAATTAATGAATGTTAAATGTTTTGGAAATAATGAGATTCAAGTTAATCACACAGCTGTGCGCCCACACGCTTTCAAAATGGAGACAAAATCCCTGTGAGACGACGCATTATGAACAATTAATATCCAAAAATGCACGCAGCATGTTAAACACGAGCTCTAAAAACTGGGCAAGCACCAAAAGTTTCCAGTCAACAATTAACATTTGGATGGACCCAGAAACATCCTGTCCTTGCTGGGTGCATTAAATCAATACTAAAAATGCTCAGCTGCTTTATTATGGTGTCTGTCAAACGCAACCCATCATCTCTGTTGATTTTTAGATGCACTCTCGCTGGAGCCAGCCACGGGTCTGTGAGCCCTGACCTAATGCTATTCTAGAACTGCAGCTGCCAGAGGACGGACAGACACAATACCTCAGCTAACAGACCAAGGGGAGTGGCTGCACGGGACAGCGGAACAGTGGCACGCAACTGAAGTCAAAGGAGGTCAAATACAGGAACACCACACACACACCTACTGCTTCGGAAAGGAGATAATAGCATCCATTCTGTATTACTTTATAATGAATTATTGAGATGGCTATAACTGCTATAATCACAACATGAACATCACAACCTTAAAGGGGTAGTTCACCCAAAAATAAAATGACCTTATCAATTATTCTCCCTCATGTTGCTTTAAGTTTTCTTTCATCTGTTAAACACAAAAGAAGATAGTTTGAAGAATGCTTATGGCCGGCACTTATTGATTTACAGTGTAGTAAAATAAGTACTATGGAAGTCAATGGGTGCCGGCAACAAACATTTTTCAAAAT